CTTCTCCATCCTTGGGGATGTGGTCCCATTCACTTCCTTGTCCTGGAGGGACCATGACTCTGCCGCAGGGAGGAGAAGCTCTCGGGTGGCCATGTGAGTTAGGTCCTCCCTTCAGAAGCTTCCTCCTGTCCCCGGCTTTGTGTTTGCACACAACCCCCGGACGCAGACCTTTGCCCGCTCCGCTGCCTGCCTGGCGTATCTTCGAGCCCAGTCTCCGTCCATTACAGTCAGTCCTGCTTTGAGGCCTGCACAGCGACCACCTCGTTCCCGCAAGCCTCCCTGGCCCAGGGCTGTAAACAGCTCTTCCTCCTCTCATTCCCACACCACAGTGAGTCCTGCTGTAGCCATCATCGCGCTGTCCCTTGTCCCAGTGTTATCTCCGTCTCCCCACGGTGGCTCACTCACCTTTGCATGACCTCATCCTCCTGGCCCCGTGGCTGATAGGGACATGGTGTTCAGTGAATTTATTCCAGAGGCCTTTGCTGGGCCCTGGGGCATGGGGAGGCTTATCAGAAAGGCAGACACTAGAGAGAAAAGAGCTGAGGGCAATAAAATACCACTATGAGGGTGGGAAGTGGCCAGGCAGTGAGAGGCTGCAGGGAGAGTGAAGGTGTGTAAGAAAGAGCTTACCCTAATGACCCGAGGTCAAGAGAGAAATGGTTAGGGAGTGTCCTCTCCTTCTGACCACAAGGGGTGCTTTTCCAGCGGGAAGGGGAGAGCATCCTGGCCCAGGCACAGGCACAGGCTGGCGTGCAGCCAGGCTGCCCATCACCGAGGAGGCCAACTCCTGCTCCTCAGTTCTTTGAGGTAGAAACACCCTTTCCTGAAATACGTGCTCCAAATACCCATCCTCCCCGTCCCTCTTCTCTCTCCTCGTCCTTCATCATTTCCCTCATCACCAACCTGTCAAATCCACAGAAGGTTCAAAAGGTGCTGAGGAATCGGGCTGAGTCATATGGTGGGGAAGGGGATGGGCTTGTCAGCCATGAGACGTAAAGCTCTGAGCCCCAGTTTCCTCACTTGGAGCTGAGGGAGTGATCTTTCCTTCGCTGGGTATTTCAAGGGCAGCCAGAGCTGAAGGTCGAACTTGTCAGGGGCTGTGCTCTGGCAGATGCTCTGCAGTGGGGTTCTCTCCCGGGGACGGTGGTAAAGGTCTGTTTCCTAAGAGAACCTCCATTCCTAGGCCCCTGACAGTGCGGGGTCACAGGTTAGAGTCCAGCGAGGTCACTTTTATTCTCCAGGGATTGGGCGACACTAGCAAATGCTGAAAGCTAATCCTATCCTATATAATAAAAGCCCAATATGTTAAGTGTCCGACCATTCGACCAGTTGCTATGACATGCACTGACCACCAGGGGGAAGATGCTCCAACTGGTAGGTCAGCTTGCTGCTGGGGTCTGGCCAATTGGGACTGGGTGAGATGGGCCGGACACACCCTGGAGCCCTCCCTCGGTCTCTCCCTGCCCCAATCTTGCACCGGTGGAGTTCCTCGGCCTGGCCTGCACCCTCTCACAATCTGGGACCCTTCAGGGGATGTCAAAGATCCCCACAGGCCAGGCTGAGGGACCCCACTGGTGCACAAATCCGTGCACCGGGCCTCTAGTGTTTAATAAATACCGACACCATGTCAGGCAAGGTTGCAAGTGCTTTGTGTGAATCTGGCCATATAATCTTTATGCTACTATTGTTCCTCTTTCACAGATGGGAAACTGAGGCTCAGAGAGGTGAAGGGTCTTGCTTAAGGAGACGTACAGGCAGTTGGCAGCCAAGCTGGGATTCGAACCCAGGCAGCCTGTGCAGAGCTCCTGCTGGTGAACGCTGCCCTGCACCCACCCCTGGAGCCTAGGGCACGCTCACCTGTGGGCACGCTCACCTGTGGGCACACTCACCTGTGCAGCTGAGGCCCTCCTCGCAGGACTGCCAGAGTGAACTTGTCGTCCCCCAGCTCCCAATGTACTGAACAGCCGGCTCTCGTTGTCCCTCCTGCCATCGCCCTGCCCCTGCTGAAATGAATGCAGAGCCGCCCTCCTGCGTGGTCCTGGCACAGCGGCTTTGCCACCCTCCGGGGCCCCTCGCACCAGTGGCTGCTGCCCAGGGCGGTAAGGGAGAAGGCCATGGCCAGGCAGACGGGAGGAGGGCCAGTGCCTGCTGCCCCCGAGCCCTGTCTGTGGCTGAGTGAGGTGTGCACTGTAGGATGAACAGTGGCCCCTCCTCCCCTCCTGGTCGTGGTGCCCACCCTCCCCAGCCCTGCCATCTGGCAGCTCACAGGCTTCCGTGGTGCTCCCGGGGAGTCGGTGCATGCCAGCCTGGGGCATCCACGTGAGCGCGGTGGCCTGAGGGGCCTGGTGAGAGCGCACAGGGCTGGGCGAGCTCCATCACAGTGCTCCCCAGGGCGCAGAGGTTAAGGGGGCTTTCGGTTTTTTTCCATTGTAGTGAAATGCACATTGTGCAATCCGTTCCCTGAAACTGAGACGCTGTACCCATTCAACACTGACTCCCCATCCTCCTCCCCAGCCCCGGCCACCACCACGCCGCTCTCTGTCTCTATGAGTCTGATCGCTGTGGGTGTAAGTGGAATTTGCCTTTTTATGACTGGCTTCTTTCACGTAGGATACTGTCCTCACGGTCCATCCGAGTTTACTCCTGCCAGAGCTTCCTTCCTTCCTAAGGCTGAGTAATGCCCCACTGAGTGGACGGACCACGTCTTGTTGGCCCGTTCATCTGGTGCACAGGTGGCTTGTTTCCACCTTTCGGTTACTGTGGAGGGTGCTAGCTTTTGAGGGAAGATCAGGGGGGTTTGGGTGGGTTTCTGGGTATAGGCTCCCCACCCTTGCCCTTTGCACTGAGCAGGGGCCTCAGCGTTGGATTCGGGGAATCTCGGGGCCGGCATGGCTCCCTGGCCAGCCCCACACGGAGGGGCTTCCTCTTCGATGGGCTTTGAGAGACTCGAGGTGCAGGCAGCCTGTTTCAGGCCCAGGTGCCGTGCAGAACGGGGGTGGGGGCACCCCACCCCACATGGGCGCAGAATTCAGCCCGATCCTGGAGCCCCTAAAGCTGCAGGCAGAGCCCTTGGCCCATCACTCATGCCCTTACAATGGGGCCCTGCAGCAGGGAGGAGTGTGGCGCAAGGGAGACTCATGCTGCTTCTTGGGCCGAGGGCATTCATGGAGCAGCGAGGGCAGGAGAGTCGGGGAAGATTCCTTGTGGCATCTGAAACATACAGGCTCTTGATTACATATGAGGCACCTCCTGGAGACGCTCGGATATTAGTGAGCATGTACCGGCCTGGGTGGGGGGGGGGAGGGGAGAAAAGGCAGTGCCTGTGGGCTGCTAGCAGTGCTCTGTCCTGTCTGCTGCTAAAGGCTGAGGGTGTGCTGTCAGGCGCCCAGGAGCCGTGAGCATCTGGTTTACCAAGTCTTCTCACTAGTGTGTCCCCACCTTCTAGAAAAAGGATGTTTTTGAGAAAAAGAGATTAGATAGAAGATTCTTACCAAGCTGGCATTTTCTTTGCCAGCATGCAACTTGGAAGCCAGCCTTAACAGTTGCAGGATAACTGTACAACCACAGCAAAAGGACCAGAGCCCACCATGTGGGCACTTTTCTCCCTCTATGTCACTTCGTCCTGCTCTCTGTTGTCCCCAAGAGATGACCACATTGGTTCCAGAGGCCACATCGTTAAAAGAGTCCATTTGGGGGTCTTTGCTCATTATGAGCATTCGTTGCTAAGGATTAAAATCTTGCCACAGGCAGTTCCGAAGACTCGCAAGGATTTCTATGAAGGGTTGCTCATCTGCTTCTCTCCAACTGTTCAGAATTTTCTCACTCAGATAAGCTGACCAAGATGAGTTCCTGCTGACCTGCCTCTCATCCAGTCAGGATGTGGTCCCCTGGGCCTCTGGAGGACATGGCGGGGGATGCTGGGAGCTGGGCTGGGAGAGATGGGTGAGAAGGGTCATGCAGAGCCTTTCACAGGCATGGTGATGAGACCACTAGAGAAATGGAACTGCCTAGAGAGTTAGGGTAAGATAAGGCAACTTACCACATCGCTGTGGCCAGGTGACTGGTCAGAGGACCTGGGGAGATATCTTGGCTCTGCCGTTTACTTGCTGTGTGGCCTTGGGCAAGTAACCTAACGTCTCTGAACCACAGTTTCCCGCTGTCAAGTGGAGAACTAGCAGCCCTCACAGGAGTATCGTGGGGACGAATGAATAGGATGCTGGGTGAAAAGATTTTGTAAAGGTGAATTGTGACGGGGAAGCACAAATACGGTCATGAGGAAGTGGTGGCTCTCCCAGAGAAAGGCCTGCCAGGTGAGCTGCGTGATGTGCTCGGAATGAGTGGGCCATGCCAGGAGGGCGCAGCTGACTTTTCAGCGTGTTGCGTTGCCGCCGTGCAGACAGAACTCGGATCACCGATTGGGTGTTTGCTTCAGACCCTGGGTCAGGAGCTGCTCTCCTGGGCCGGGCAGCTGTTTCTTGTGAAGTCTTGGCACAGACAGGGCCCAAGGAGGCCTGGACAACCTCGGAGGCTGGGCTCAGCCGGCCTGGGCCATCCCAACGCCTTAGCAAAAAATGTCTCCATCAGGAAGATGCCCACCAGGAGCTGGCTCGAGGCCCATCCTCTCTGCTGGCCATGCCTCAGCGGCTCGAACCCGAGCTGCCACAGCCAGGCCTCCAGGGTGGAACCTCCGGGCCGCCTTGCTTTTCCTCGTGGGCCTCCGCAGAGGACGTCCCAGCAAACACAGCTGACTTGGGGAGGTGTGGGAAAAATCTCCCTGCCGGGGGGGGGGGGGGCCGGACGGGGCTGAGCCACGGTCGATGAGAAACTTCGGAGAGCCAGCAGATTGGTCTAGCCGGGTACAGACGCTCTTGACGCGTGTGGAGAGACTTTGTGCAAACATTTCCTCGCTGGACACGGAGGGATGCGACAGGAGGCTGCCTGCGGTACATCTTGGACTGTCAGACAAATGTGCTCGCACTTGTGAGGGTGCCTCGAGGAAGATGAGGCCGGAACCCAGCAGGATAGGGCCCCGGAGGAGGACCGCGGGGCCCCGGCGGGGGGTCCGCGCGTTGCCCACCCACAGCCCTGCCTCCCCGGGGGCCAGCTCTCTCCCCTCCCGTGGGAAGCGCTCTCTCCAGTCCCCTGCGCGGCCCTTCCTCGCTCTGCTGCTTCTGGTTTCCGTCAAGCAAGTAAGCGCAGTTTTTATTATTATTGTTGTTATTAGTATCAGTGGCACATTCTTTCTGATTACGGAAGCAATCTAGGCCTCTTGTAGGCAATTTGGAAAATATAAGACAGTATGAAGACAATCTAATCCAGCATCCAGAGGTAGTCACTGTGAATATTTTGGCAATTTTTCCTCAAATCCTTTCTCGATGCATTTTTCACACAGCTGAGATCATGATGCAGGAAACATTTTGCATCCTGGTTTCCCCTCTATGTCCTAGTCCACGTCGGTATGAACTCTAAATACTAGTAGCATTTAAAATCGCGGCATATAACCTCCTGTCTGTCTGCTTCTATCATCCTCTCACATGTGAGGATGTAGGGTGAATGGGTAGCTCTTTTTTTTTTTTTTTATATTTTCTTTCCTTTTTTCCTCCTTTCCTTCCTTCTTTCCTTCTCATTATAAAAATATAAGATGTTCATTGTTTAAAAAAGTAAACTTATAAAATCCAAAGAAGGATAAATACGGACGACAGCTCACCGTGATGCCACCACCCAGCGGTCACCCTCATTCACATTTGGGGGCTCATAGTTCTACCACTTATTTATATCTCCTTTTTAAAAACAACAACATAGGATCTAATTATAACTGTTATCTCACAATATACTTTTTTTTTCTTAACAAAATACACTAATAACACAGGCTAACATTTTTTGACCACTTACTATGCAGCAGGTGCGGTGCCAGGCTCTCAGCAGCCCTGTGAGGGGCGTCCTTTAATCCCATTTTACAGATGAGGAAACTGAGTCTCGGGGAGGTGGAACGCTTTCTACGTCAGTAAAGGTAGCTCCATGCATGAGGCTTAAGGGCTCCAAGGAAGTGTTCTAATGTACGTAACCGTTCTCTTTAGTTGGGCATTCTGGTAGCTTGTCTTATTCTCATCCAAGAAGTTGGAACCTTTGCTCCTTCCTTTTCAAGGTTCCGTTGCTAGACTGGGCTGCCATGTGAAGGAACCCCGTTCCATTCATCTGAGTAAAGAGGGGCCTTGAGGAATGTTCTCGTATTCCTTTGGTCCCTAGGCACCTCTAAGTCCTAAATCCCTGCTGCCCCCTAGAGGGAGGGCTGGGTGCCAGCTCTCATGTGGTCACCGACCAGGCTTTCTCTGGTGCTAGCCCAGGACCAAGCAGGCAGGGCACCCCGACCGAATTCGCGCATCCCAGTTCTCTCCAAGCTGACGTCCAGCCCTCGTAGCAGACTGCAGATGCGAGCCCCTCCGTGGTCGCCTGGAAGCCTTGCCTGGTGGCAGCCTCGTGGTCAGTGACCAGACGTTTCCGAGGGGCAGGTGGCTGCAGCCTGCCTCCTACCCCAGGACTTAATCCGTTAGCGGCAGGGCCATTGGGAAGGTTGACACAGAACCCTCACCTTTGCTTCAATTCTCTATCTCATAGTAAAACTGAATAGATCCAGCTAATTGTCTAGTTTTCTTCACCTTCTACCCACACCTATGCATTGATGGCCTCTGAGGTGCCAGGCACTGCTGAACTTGCACTTACCATTAATCACCTTGCTCAAACCCACACCGAGCTTCTGAGAAAACAATTATTACTGAGCCCATTTTACAGATGGGGAAATGAAGATTCACAGGAGTTAAATGATCTCCGGTGATCATGTAGCTCGTGAGCCGTGGAGCCACTGTGCGCTTGAGGAAATGCGCTCTTTCTTCCCCAGCATCCCTTGCAAGCTGCTGGCATACGGATATTTATATGTTAAAACAGCAGACTCTGCGGGGCCTCAGGCTGGCTTATGACACTGACAAAGCCGCCCCTCATGTGCCTGTTAGCATGTTCCCTCCCGCCTTTGCCACCCAGTCTGTTTTCAGAGCCTCTTCCCTCTGTCTGTCCGGCAGTGTGTCTATAATCCTGATGGCCCTCCTCTTGGTTCTCTCTCAAAGCCCATATTCTTCTCCACATGTTTACATTACAAGGCCTGGTGCGGACTTCATGCTGAATTTTGCTTGGAGATGCTCTCCCTCCGTGGATTATAAATGACCGTGGTGTGTTGTCTGGCAGGAAGTCTTCATAAAAATCCACTTACTGAGAAATTCTCAGGGATAGTTTTGTTTCTAAATTCAAGTAGAGAAATAATTCTGTCACCTCCTTCCTCCCCCCCCCCCCACAACTCATTTAAGCCAATTAGCAGCTGCTTTGGGCATCAAAACACAAACTCTTTAAGACTATTCAAGAAGTTTGTGGCTCTTTCATACATGGCTGATGGGATTGTAAAAAGGTACATATTTTTAGGTAAAAATTTTTTTTGGCGAGGATGATAGTTTGGCAGTACATTATCAAACCCTCTAAAAGTGTGTACTTTATGACCCAGAAATTCCAACTCAAAGAATTTCTCCTAATAAAGATGTGCTAAAGTATTTAACTCTGAATATTCTCATTACAGCATCATTTATATTAGCAAACAGCTAAAGCAACATAGATGTCCAAAGCTAGAGAATTTAAAAATAAATTATACCACATTCATCTCCAGAAAATGATCGTAGCTGTTAAAATGGTCATTTTAGAAGAATATATCTTCTAGTGAAAAAGAGGCCACAGAACAACACAATTTCCTTTTTAGTTAAAATAAAAAAAGAACAAGGATGCCCGTGTGCAGAGATGATAACTTCTGAGTAATACCATTGTGATTTTGTCTTCTCCCTTTTTGCTTATCTGTAATTTTAATTTTATTTACAATGACATATATTCCTTCTGTAACAAATAATATTAGAAGATGTATTTAAAGCAAGTCAACAGAAGAATATTCCGTTTCCCTGAATCCCTTCCCAGCCAAATTAGTCATTGATGCTGTTACCTAAGCAAGAAAAAGAGGAATCAGACTTGAGCTGGACTTTTCCAGAGGAAACATCACTCATGTACCTCCTTTCCTCGTTACCGTTTGGACCTGGCTGTGATTGAACTTGGATTTGCCTCTTATGTCTTAGGACATGCACCTGGGAAGACAGTCTGAGTTTGTCTGGCTCTCTGAGACTGACCAAATTCAGTGCTTTAGTGTTTCTTATGCTTTGTCTTTTTTTTTCTGTTTTTGAGCATGGCCATTAGTCATGACAATGAGCAGGGGATGGGGGAGTGTTAATCCAGGGACATCTCACATAAAGGACTGATTCTATTGTCTCTTCCTCAGCCGGGTCCCAGTGAGGTCCCCAAGAACACACACAGCCCTTTACCAAGAAAGGTCTTACTTTTGTGACTTGGAAGATTCTGGAAGTTTACAATTTATTTATCAACTTCTCTGCTAAACTTGTAAAAACAATATAAAGTTACTTATGGCCCCACTAGGATACAAAACATCCTAATGTGTTAATAAGCTTTCGTCTTGCCTCTTGGGCCATTCACAGGGAGATATATTACTAATGGAGATTCAACATTCATTAAAAACAGAAACCAAGGGATACATGCCAATTATTTCATCATCAATGTCACCACCATCATTATTTCTTGGCTAATCCCAGGGTTCCCAAATGGTGTGCTAAGGTGCCCCAGGGCACTGCTGTGAGTTCACAGGGGTGCTGTAAGATATTTTAATTTTTCGAGGGAAGCAGTGATCCATGACATCTGCCAGACGCTGTGTGAATTACTAGCTTGAGGTAGTTCATGGTTTCAACATTATATCATGCTGCATTCCTTTCGATGACCTTGTATTTGTGCAAAGCAGGGTTTTCTGAAGTTGCTGTGATAAAAAGCAAATACTGCACAGAAGTCAAAGTGGAACAAAGGTGGTGGTGTCCAGTCTGAGCCTTAAGTTTGGGAAGTAGTGTGATCCCCAGTGGGCACTAAGTCGTTAGGATGTAAATACTTACTAAGTTGTTTAGACCTACCTACTTAATAAGAGGGACTTTAGATATTTCTTTCAGCGTAGGGGTGCCATGGAATAATTATTGAGACACCAAAGGCACCAGGAATTGAAAAAGTTTGGGACCCTCTAGTCTAATAATGACCATATTTATTTTTCAAAAAGTTGGCTGTGATTCTTTAGAAGAAATGCAAAGAACTACTCACACACGTGATCATGAATGCTATAAGATTGGGGGCGTGGCAAGCTGGGCAGAGGGTGGGTATAGATTGGACTAATTACTCAGGAGGTGAAAACTGGCTACTGGTTAACCTTGTAAGAGTTGTGGTTTTTGTTTGTTTGTTTCATTTGTTTTATGGGGTTTTTGTTGTTGTTGTTTTTTTGGTTGTTGGTTTTGCTTTGTTTAGGGTGTGTGTGTGTTTGAATACCTTAGGTGGAGTATCTGCCCAATTTACAATGGCTCCTCACTCCCTGTTGTTGTACCTGTCTACTTCATTCTTTCAGGTTATCTACCCAGCCAAGAGAGCATGTGAGTTTGGTAATCCTCGTGAGAGGAGACAAAGCCTCAAAGCCAAATAACTGATTAACGGGTTGATCTTAGCCCAGATTCCATGTTCATGTCCCCTGCCCCGCCTCACCCCACAACTGTGCCTCTCTTTAGTGGGAGAACGAGGACAATAACTCCAGCCCTGTGCGAGGGCCTTGTACTCAGAGATGAAAGGCACATCACAGCCTCACAGAATGTACGGGGAAGTGAAAGCGATGGACAAGTGCCTCGCCGATGGCAGTACAATGTGATGGTCCATAGGACTCAGTCATGTGTGGGGTCAAAAAACACTGGAAAGAAGACTTACCAGCTCAAGACTTCAGTGAGAGAGGTGGGCAAGTATGGCCAGGGCTCACTAGGCTTGAGTGGAGCCTTGAGAGATGAGTAGAGAGCGAGCCAGGTGAAGACGAGGGTGGAGGGAGTGCCCGTGGAAAGTGCAAAGATGCGAAGTCATGAAAGAGCAAGACTGGGGTTGAGAGCCTTGGGACTGGGTGGCTGGGTGAAATCTTGAGTCAACAAGGCCAGGAGGGTAAGACTTTAGGCAAGAGAGCCCTGTGCTCAGTGGGAAGGGGAGACAGGGGCACCAGGCCAGAGGTGGAGGAAATGGGAAGCAGGGTTGGACAGAAATGTAGGAGGACAGAACGTGGAGGTGAAGAGAGGAGCAGAGGACAGTTCCTGGTTTCTGGTTTGTGACTGAGACGACAATGGTGCCAGCACTGAGCCACTAGGGAAGCAGAGGATGACAGGGTACAAATGTCACATGACTTTGTATGCCAGCTAATATATACAGTCGACCCTTGAACACTATGGGTTTGAACTGCATGGATCCACTTATATGTGTATTTAAAAAATAAATATTTGCACTGTTTTGATCCACAGTCTGGAGATGAGGATGTGGAGGGCCGGCTATATGCATTGATCTGTACCATTTTATTTAGGGGACTTGAACACCTGCAGAGTTTGGCATCTGCAGGGGGTCCTGGAACCAGTCCCCTGCAGACACCAGGGGACAGCTAAGTTTTGGGGAAATCAAAAGTTATGCATGGATTTCTGACTGCATGGGGCGTGGTGTCGGAACCCTAAGCCCGTGTTGTTCAAGGGTCCACTGTGGTTGTCTTAACTTTAGTAGCTTCTAAGTCAATGATGGCGAACCTTTTGAGCTCAGTGTGTCAGCATTTTGAAAAATCCTAACTTAACTCTGGTGCCATGTCACATATAGAAATTTTTTGATATTTACAACCATAGTAAAACAAAGATTTATATTTTTGATATTTATTTTATATATGTAAATGCCATTTAACAAAGAAAAATCAACCAAAAAAATGAGTTCACGTGTCACCTCTGACATGCGTGTCATAGGTTCGCCATCACTGTTCTAAGTCCTTTTGGGCAGAGAAAGTGTCTTACTCATTTTGTATCCCCTTCAATTCCTCCCTGATATAAAACCTGGCACACAACAACTACTCAATAAAAATGAGTAAATTGAAGAAGAAAAATCCCCCTTTAAAGCCAAAAGAAGTGGTACACAATTAGAAGTTGTTAGATAATCCAATCTCTAAGAAGGCCTAAAAAGTATATTCTGTATAACTAAGGTTCTAAGGCAGTGATGGCGAACCTTTTGAGCTCGGCATGTCAGCATTTTGAAAAACCCTAACTTAACTCTGGTGCTGTGTCACATAGAAATATTTTGATATTTACAACCATAGTAAAACAAAGATTTATATTTTTGATATTTATTTTATATATTTAAATGCCATTTAACCAAGAAAAATCAACCAAAAAAATGAGTTCGTGTGTCACCTCTGACACGCGTGTCATAGGTTCGCCATCACTGTTCTATGGGATGAGATAGTTTAATGTCAGAAAGAAAAAAATCCCCAAGCCTTCAGTAACAGAGCTTCTATCTGCTCAATGTCTTTGACTCTGGACCCACAGGCACCGAGGTGGGCTGGGGTTGGGGTGTGGTGGACACTGAGCCTGGGGTGCAGACCCCTGCAAGTCCTCTGGCCCTTCTCTGACACACGATTGAGCCCTCTTCACGTGCTGCCCCTCTCTTTGACACCCGCATGGTCTTCGAAGCAGGCAACTATTTATCTGGTAGGGTATGAAAATTCAGGATGAGCATATTGCATCCTCTTGAAATGTAAGCCTCTCTTAAAGACTTTGAAAAAAAACTTTTCATAGTTGTATTGAAACCACCATGATTAGATTATGGAGTAAATGTAAAATTCATATGTATCTTTTAAATAGGACATAAGATGCCAAACAAATTCTATTTCTTGGTGCAGGCCATGATGGGCACTTCAGCAGGAAGGTTTGAGAATCATGGTATGAGATGATGACAAGGCCACTCCTGTGCTTGCAGCTAAATAGGGGTCAACACAGTGTTTTCTGCTCAGGTTGCAGGATCTCTCCTTGAGGAGACAACTCGAAAGTGGGCTCAGTACAGAGAGAAGTGCCTGAGAGACTTACTCAAACAACCTTCCGGTAAGCACACATATTAGTTATTTATGGCCGTGTAACAAATGGTCCCAAAGCTTTAAACAATAAGAATAATCATTTGCTATGTCTCAGACCGAGCACATTGGGGGTGGCTTTGTTCTGGTCTACAACGTCTGGAGTGTGGTTGGAAGACTCAGAGGCTGGGGTGAAATCATCTGTAGTCTCGTTCACACCCATGTCTGCGGGTTGACGCCGGCTCTCAGCTGAGAGTTGAGCTGGGAATGTGGGCCAGAAAACTTCCCCGTGGCCTCTCCGTGTGGCCTGGGCTTCCTCACAGCACATTGGCTGGGTCCCATGGGCACGCATGACCACAGGTCAGGTCTCATTTTATGACCCAACTTCAGAAGTCCCTCTGCCACACTCAGTTGGTCAGACGGTTACAAAGGCTTACACAGTTCCAGGGAGGCCCCCCCCCCCCCACCTCTCACAGTAAAAGAGCATGTGAGATGGGACACATACACTTGTGGCATCTTTGATAAAAGCCATCTGTCACAGCACACTCACCACCCAATCACATAACTTGGGCAACTGTCAGAGATTAACCAGGGACTCTACTGAGTGTGTGCTGGGTGGGCTGGGGGTCCTCAGTCTCGGGTGGTAACTGCAATCACAGGTTTCTTTTATCCAGGTCTGCACCAGGCTCAGAGCACTCCGGCAAATTTGCTAGTAGCTTGGTCAGTCCACGGCCTCTCCTGCCCACATACTGACTCTTTGGGTGTGTCCAGATTTTTGTTGTAAGAAAAATAAAAAAGAATAAGGAGCCTTGGCTCACTGCCTCTGAGCGCCAGGGAGTGTGGCTGAAAGCTCCTTGTTTTCTGGGCTTCCTGCAGATCATGTCATTCAGGCCCTGGAGGTTGACAGACACTGGAAACTCTCTGTCCATTTTCCTGACCCAAAGGCAGTGCCGACCTGCAAGCCACCTGCTTCTCCCTGGACTGATTCCGTCAGCCCAGGCAGGCAGCAGGCGAGGCAGCCATGCTCCTAGCAGCTCAGCACCGCTTCACACAGATGGGGTGCTGACCCCTGGCAGCCGGGTCCGCGAGGTGCCTGCGCCAGCTCACACCTAGCAGATCTGCGCTCACAGGATCCCGCAGCCCTGGCTGTCCACCCTGAGATCTAGCCTAGTCAGGAGCAGATGGTGGGGGATGGTGCTTGGTTCTCAGAAACGAGGAGCCTGCAACATAGACATTTGGGATCCATCCTGAAACCCCTTCAATTGATTCCGGGAGGCCGATGAGTCTGAGGCTTCTGTTTATAGCCTCTTGTCACCAAGCACTGCAATGTACATCATCCCCTGAGCCTGACATGGCCCACATATTTCATAGTAACCTCCAGGCTAGTATTCAAATGGAGAAGTATGACTGACAAAAGCCTTCAGTTCTGCAGATGCCCTTACATCTACTGGTCCTTTGGCACATGTCACAGTAAGGGTGTTCCAGGATCTAACTGGTGAAGGCTTGACAAGTATTTAGAAAGTTATGGAACATACGGTGCTGGCTGGATCTCCCAGTGTCCTCCTGACCCAGAGTGTCTGTGAGAGTCAGTTCATGTAAAGTAAACCAAAGCCAGCGTGACGTACACATTGACGTAACCGAGGAGACCACTGCCAGAGGTCAGGGTGGCGAGACAAAGCCACAGTGCTTGGCTGCATGAAGCATCCTGCCTGCATATTGTTCCTCATCCTTGACCTTTCTGGAGAGGGGGATGCCCACGCGGGCCTCTGTGCAGGTGACTACCGCTTCTGAGGCCAGGAAGGTGGGCTCTGGTCTCCCAGTGCCTCTCTCTCCATCAGTGGGCCTGAGGCTCCCGCACCGCAGTTCATTCCCCTCTTCTTCTCTCTGCAGGCGTATTTTGTAACGGAACCTTTGATCGGTATGTATGCTGGCCTCATTCTTCTCCGGGAAACGTCTCCGTTCCCTGCCCTTCATACTTACCTGGGTGGAGTGAAGGTAATGTCTCATTTCACCAATTCCTGACCGTTTCTTTAAAGGCTGGTCCCTCCTGGCAGACCAGCCAGGGAGCAGAGAGAGAAAGGGCTCCAACCAACTGCTTTCCTCAAGTCTTCTTCTCCCACAAAAGGTGTCCTTCTAAGGTTACAGGTTCCTTTTTCTCTCTGCTTCTCCTATCTTCCTGCAGTTCTGTGCTGGATGTTCTGTTAACATACTAGTCCTCTTTTCTTTGAAATGATAGGGTCCAGGCCCGGCTTCCACAGAATGTGCTGCAGTGAGGGTCAGAATTGTCACTATCCAGCAGAGCAGAAAGAGGTGGGGGAGAAAGATGGGATGCTCACAGCCGTGCAACCTCGGCTTGTCAAACATCAAAACCACCCTGGCAATAGCATTGGGAGGAAGTGCTATTGAACTGGTGTTTTTAAGCCTCACGGGACTTGGATGGATAGTTTAACCCTCAGCTTGCCCTGGTCCTGCTTCAAGGAAGTGACTATCGTTTAGGACTTCAGGATGCTATCCCGCCCCACCTGCCCCAGCCAGCAGCCGCTTGGCTGTTTCACTGGAAGGAGGGAGGAACAATGACTGGTTAGAATTCTATAGCCTTTGACCGAAGACCATGGACAAATCTAAGAACAGGTGAAATCTTGAGGACTGTTCTCAAGAAACATAAGCAGTTACCAAATTCCAGGCAAAACAAAGTGAAATGGGTTTCTGAGAAGGCGAGATGGTGATATTTTGTATTGAATGTCAGCCCAGGAAATGGTCGCATCAGTTAAAATTTGGTTTCAACTTTTTGAGGCTTCTGATGAAAAGAGAGAGGTTTTGTTGTTGTTGTTGTTTGTTTGTTTTTAAAAATATATTTTATTGATTTTTTACAGAGAGGAAGGGAGAGGGATAGAGAGTTAGAAACATCGATGAGAGAGAAACATTGATCAGCTGCCTCCTGCACACCTCCTACTGGGGATGTGCCCACAACCAAGGTACATGCCCTTGACCGGAATCGAACCTGGGACCCTTCAGTCTGCAAGTTGCCGCTCTATCCCCTGAGCCAAACCGGTTAGGGCAAGAGAGTTTTCAAGGAAGACACATTTCTGGGAGGGAGTGCTCATGAAACTGTCCTTTGGAATCAGCCCAGGGGACATGAGGATGTGAGGCTCCAGGGAAGGTGAAAGGAAAGACGCTGAAGAGCTTGCTGGACCCGAGGGTTCAGCTCAGTGATGAGTGAAGAGCACAGGGAGTCAGGAGCTCTAAGCTTAGACCCCCTCCCTCTATTCTATCCTCAGACTTTTGACAGATTGCCAGAGCCCTCAGAGCTGTGGTTTTGTCTGTAATAGCCAACTCTTAAGTTCTTCTTGAGGAATAAGTGAGAAGGCACGCACCGAGTCAGTCACACAGTAGGTGCTTCGTCAATGGGAGCTGAGGCTGAGACTGAGTCCAGCTCCTTGGACCCCTCCAGGTCTTTAAGGCCCCAATTGTGGGTGGTCTCCTCAAGGGTACGTGGAACAGACCACCACCACCAGCTCCACCATCTGCCTGTTCTTTCCCGAGAGCTAGAAACAGAAGTCCATTCACTTGAAGAGAAAAAGTGATCACAAACTCAAACTTACAAAGAAGTGGAGTTAAGGCTTAAAAAAATGAGTTGTGGGCTTCTAGAATGTGCTAAGGGGAATGTGACTCGCAAAAGGTGAGAAGTTGCTTTTCCACTCAACCTTTTGTGCGTTAAATCTTAAGAATCCAAACGGGTTCTTGCAGTAAAAGGAAACTGTGGAGCCAGCGGAGGGGTTTAGAGAAGTAGGATGGACAAGCATTCCTGTGAGGTAAGATCAGAGGGGGAGCATTGTACTATGAGAAGGGAGCCCGAGTGTCGGTGGATAGAGGCTGTAACAGTGGACACAGGCTGTAAGGGCATATAAGGCTGCGGATGAAGCAGGAAACTATATGTTATGCTAAGGGTTTTTAACTTTCCTCTGTAGAGAAGCTTCTGTGGAGCTGCCAAAGGTGTTAAGGCATGAGAAGGACATGAGATGTGTGGTGTGGGGAGATGATGTTGGTAGCCTGTGGCTGTTGGACTGAGGCATGGAGGGGGTCAGGGAGGCAAAGCTACCTCAGTGGCTCAGAAAAAGAGACGGTGAGGGTAGAGATTCAGGCAAAGGCAGGAGGTTGGAGAGAACAGGAAAGAGTTTTAAAAATATCGGCAGTAGAACAGTCAAGACTTGTCATCAGGGGAAGTGAGTATGGAGGGACAGAGAGGAGTGGGAAATAGAGGAGAGAAAAACATTCCCCATTCCACCTGGCCCCCTTAACATCCCTCATCTGGCTGGTAGCCAAGTCCCCTGGCCCCTCTCCCCCTCCACCCGCCACTGCTCATCTTTGCTCTCAGCTATTGCTCCCCCCTCCTCACTGGTCCCCTGCCTCAGGTCTGGCCCCCTTCCAACCACCTTCACAGAGTTTTCTAAAATGCATATTGGATTATGCTGGTTCATCACCTACACCACTAAATGGTGCTCAAGACCTTCCATCGCATGACCCCGCTGACCTCTCTAGCAGTTTCTTCCGTCTCCACTCCAGCCAAATAAACAACTCCTAGGCCCCTACACCTGCACAGCCAGTTCCACCCAGTGCCTTTGACCACACTTTTGTGTCTATAAACCCAACTTTAATCCTCAGCTTGAAACTTTCATCCTAGAAAATTTTTCCAACTACTCCCCTAAGCGCAACCGCCCGCCCCGCCCCCACCTTTCTGAGGCCTCTTAGGTTCCTTAGCATTTACAGCGCTTGGTGACACTTGTATGTGCACATCTCCTCCACCTGCTCGACTTGGAGCTGTGTCTTCTTTGTCCATGCATTCCCCAGCACAGAGCAATTATGGCTGATGTGGAGAACATTATTGTCATTCACTCATTCAACAAATAGATATTGAAGACCTACTGTGTGCTAGCCATTGTTTTCAGTGCTTCGGACATATTAGTGACCAAAACCAGAATACAATTCCTCTCCTTGTGGGGCTCATATTCCAGCAACAAGCAATAATCAAGAAACATCACAGACAAGTAAAGTACAGAGAGTATTTGAATGAGTGTTTTAACTAAGACGGGAGGGAAAGAGATGGGAAGGTTGGAATGGGCTTTATGACAAGCTGATGTTTTAGCGAAAACTTAAAGGAGGGGAGGGGTTTAGCCAATAGAGGAAGAGTGTTCAGCAGGGAAGGAGTCGATGAGTGTAAGTTGCACACTATTTGGGCAGCATGTCTGATGAGCAAGGAGCAAGGAGGCCTCTGTGGCTGGAGTGAAGGGGGAAGAGAAGCAATAGGAGGTTAGGCCAGGGAGCATTGGGGCCGGGCCCTGCAGGACTCTGTGGGAGACCCTGGCACTCTGACCTGTTTTCTGAGCGCCCTGGGATGACTTTGAGTGAGGCGTCCCATGCTGTGACTGACATATGTTTAAGCTCATTCTGACGGCTGGCCTAGCTGTGGCCCATGATAGCGGAGGCGTTGACAAGTATTGGAAGGGGTCACGATAACCCAGTGAGAGACGAGGGTGGTTCCAGTGAGGGTGGTAGCAGGAGGTGAAAACAGTGGTCGGATTCTGGATGCGTTTGAAGGTAGAGACATCATGGACCAGATGAAGGTATGACAGACAGGAAACAGGTTGGGGCCAGCCTACTGAGATGATGGGTTTGCCATCAACGGAGACAGGAAGACCTGTGGGTGGAGCAGGTTTGAGGAGAAGATGGAGAGTTTGGGTTAGGACTTCTTAGGAAATGTAGAGACTTCCTGTTTTTCTTTCCATCCCAAATAAACAGTAGAGATGCTAATGAGCCCCCCAAGGGGAAGTAAAAGTCCCATTTCCCTGGGATTTTCCACGGCTTTCGGAGGAACGGGCCTCCCCACGTGCTCAGGGAGCCGACCTTTCCCCCAGAGCTGTGTTTACTTTCAGAGAACCCGGGAAGGGCCTACAGACGCTGCCTGGCTCGGGGCACTTGGCAGACGCTGGCGAACCGCACAGTTTGGCAGGATGACTCCGAATGCTCTGAGAACCACAACGTCCAAAAAAACGTGAGTCCCCTTGGCCCAGCGAGAACACGCCTGGGGCCCAACCACTCTGCCCTGCCCCAGGGCCCTCCATGGCCCCTTGGCTTTAGGGGCCACACAGAGAGCCTTCCCTAAGCTTGTCTGCTCCGGACTCACTTTTGCTGCTGTTCCCTCTCCCTGGAACACCTCTCCTCATTTTTTGTGGCTTCTTCTTATGTTTTTATTGATTTCAGAGAGGAAGGGAGAGGAAGAGAGAGATAGAAACGTCAACGATGACAGAGAATCACTGATCAGCTGCCTCCTGCACTTCCCACACTGGGGATCGATCCTGCCACCCAGGCACATGCCCGGACTGGGAATGGAACTGTGACCTCCTGGTTCATGAGTCAATGCTCAACCACTGAGCCACGCCAGCCGGGCGGCTTCTCCTTCTTATCATCCAGGTTTCAGGTCAATGTCTCCTTCAAAGCGAAGTCTTGTGTGGCCACCCCATCAAGAGTGGCCACCGCTCCCCACCACGCTCTGACCTTCTCCCACATTTGCCTCTCTGCTATGGAGCCTTCTCCTTAGAAAGTGGACTCAGTGATAGGAGGCGGGGCATGGGCCTGAGGGGACACAGTGAGCCCCGGATTCCGAGCTGAGGGTCGAGGGCCAGACAGCCCTGTTTCCTGTCCAGACTCTGATTCCTAGCTCTTCATACCAAGACCCTTCACCTCTCTGCGACCCTGCTTCCCATCCACCTCCGGGTGTAGGATCTATTGCACGCGAGCGCTGTGAGGATGTAAATAGTCACACAATTGTTAGTAGACATACGGTTCTCCAGAGAGGACCTGAGCCCTAGTCAGCACACCTGGGTAGGAGTGACCCCTCTGTCGCCAGGGCCCAGCGCCATAACTGGGCAGTGGATCACCATCGCTGCTCAGCAAATGTTCATTGGGCGCACAGCCAATCCATGCCTCAGACTTCCACCCACACATCTTCTTTCCAGGACTCTAGTCTGCAGTCCCCCAGGCACGGCTCTTCTCCCCAAACACCTCTTGTTTGTACACATCCCACCCACCTTCCTTCAAAGTGAAGAGCAAAAGGCAGCATGGCCAGAGGGAAAGGTGCTTGGGAATCAGAGGTCTGGGCCACATCTGAGCTTCTTTCAGACAGTCAGACGTGACGTGCCTTCTGGGCACTAGCCACTGGGGCTAAACGGCGAGTAAGACAGATACCACCTTCCAGGAGCTTAGAGTCTCAGGTGGCACAGGGACAGGTGGAGGTCCCTAGAGATGCCAACACAGCGAGTTAGGATTCGGCACAGTTGAAAAGGGGAGGGGCATCACCGAGCAGGCTTCAGGATTGCCCTGTCAGGTCAGAGAGAGAGGCAGGGACTAGACTGGAAGCAGAGGCGGGGGAGCAGGCAGGAGCCATTGCAGGAACTCACAGCCCAGGCAGAGAGAGGACGCAGTGGGGTGCAGAGGAGAGGGAGGCTGGATTTGCAGGATCCTGCGGAGGGAAGCAGTATGATCGGAGGCTGGGGGTGTGGTGAGAAGGCAGAGTCAAGGGCAACAGAAAGCTCCGGTGGGCTCGGGCCCTGAGGAGCTTTGAGGCAGGGGACAAGGAAGACTCCTTGCCCTTTCCTCTGTCCTGGGTTCTAGATATTTCACAACCACTTCTGAATTCTCTGCCCTCACTGCAGACTGCACACCATACCCCGCCCCTGCCCCGGGCTGTGGCTCACTGACTGTAGAGCCTGGTGGGCGTTGTGTGCCCTGGGCTCTCCCAAGTCTGTACCACCTTCCTCTCAGGCATGAAGAGCCTTCCATTTGCTCCTCATCCACAGGGAATTCTTTCTAAACCTCTTTTTCACTTTATTACTTGATTTAAGTTAACAAAATTCGATGTTTCTATTACAGTGTTACCATGTGACAGGTCACACCCCTTAACGGCATTAAAATGATACCCGTGGCTGAATTGGATTCAGCTTATCTCAAGCATCTGTCTGACTTTCACCAGGAACCAGACGCGTGCTAATTGCGTGGCTTGAATTAGACAAATTGTATGTCTTCCTTATCTCCCCTCCTGAACTAAGCTACTTGAGAACAATGACCAAATCGCAGTTCTATCTGAATGCCACCACCCTGTCCCTGGCCTAGTACTGGGATGCACAAAAGCCTTTGCATACGGTGGGCACATAATCAACACTGAAGAAATGGTGTCGCCGATTCTGAGTCAGCGGGTCTGTGGTGGAGCCTAGGAACCAGGTCGGGTGCTAAATGGGTGATTCCCATGTGCCGCTGGGGCCGGGAACCCAGGCCTCTGGGAGGAATTCACCGGCAGGTCCGAGATGCCTGCTGCTTCCTCTGGACTTAGGTCTGCAGCGGCCCAAGTGGGTGGACAGGGACAACAACGCTTTTCAAGGCAGGAAGTAAATATTCCTCTCTTTAGAAAAGTGAGGACAAGGGCATTGGCTCCTCCCCTCTGCAAACGGCCATCTTTTGAAGAATTCAAATACTTAAAAGAACCAAAAAAACAAAACCAACTTCTGGCCATGTTTACCTATGTTTCTAATAGAGGGTTGAACTCTTGCCCAAAAAAGTCTGGTGTTAGTAAATCTTTGTCCTTCAAAGGTTTGGCAAACAAAATATGTTCTCCCAACTGACAACACACTGGGGGTCCTTAAGCACATTAAAAAGTGCTTTTAAAAGGGATTGTGTATGTGTCTGCACATGTGTGTATGTGTCTGTATGTGTGTATGTGTGTGTGCACATGCATAAGTATTAACAAGTATGTTTAGGTTCCTTGGTATAGAATTGTGCTTAGAAGTGTTTGAATAAATTGTTATCTTGCCTTCTTACTTCAAGCTGTGTCCTTTGCCCTTATAAAAATACTTTCTATTCTCAATTAAATACAAAATTTAATTGCTATATGTTATCATTTTAATTTTAATGATAAATTTTAATTTTTAATATAACCTATAATATATATATAAATTGATACACATCTATTTTTCCAATATTTTATTTTGAAATAGTCAAACATATAGAAAAGTCAAAATAATAATAAACACTCCTAGATCCGCTATCTAGATTCAAAATGCATTCACATTTTGCCACATTTGCTCTCTCTCTTTCTGAAATATTTAAAAATAATTCGCAGACATCATGAGACTTTGCCACTAACTATTCCTCATGTACTTCTGAATTTTAAGAACATTATTCCATATAACTATACTGCCGTTATTCCAACTAAATAAAATCAACAGATTTCATCATCTCAACTAATGTTTCATCATACACTTCCCCCGTTGTTCTCCCTGCCCTTCCCCCGTTTTTATAACTTTTCTCCCCTGGACCAGGCTCTTCCTTCTGTTGATGTAATTGCTCCCCTGCTCTTCCTCACAAGTACCCATTGCCTTTGTCTCCTCATTAGAACATTATTCAGGCTTCTGCCCGGATCAGTGCGACAGGAATAGCTACCCTTTGGATCTCACTTTGAAAGGCCTTTCTATTTTTAGGTTAACACAGCGTAGGTAGTGACGGCCAGGATCTCTCCATGGCAAAGGCACATTCCTCCTCTTGGATTTAGTCACTAATTGGCAGGATGCTGCTTTGGTACCGTTGTTTACCTTGTTCTCTGACACATCTTCATCAGTGTTCTACCTTCATTGATGACGCGTGCTTGAGGGCATTCAAACTCTATCAGTCCTTCCACATTTACTCGGTGGCAGTCTCCTGAAAAGAAGACTTCCTCCCCTTTCCCTTTTTTTGAATATCACTATGGACTTAGAGATTATTTAATTCACTTATACCCATTCTTTTTTGTAAATCCTCACCTAAGGATATGTTTTACTGATCTCTAGGGCAGGGTGGGGGGGGGGGAAGAGAGAGAGAGAGAGAGAGAGAGAGAGAGAGAGAGAGAGAGAGAAGAGAATGATGTATGAGAGGAACATTGTCTTCCATACATGCCACCACCAGAGATTCAACTCACAACCTAGGTATGTGCTCTGACTAGAAATTGAACCAGCACCCTTTTGGTGCACAGGACGATGTTCTAACCACCCAAACCACACTGGCCAGGGCTATCTAGACTTATTCGTTTTTACGATAAACTAGAGGCCTGATGCGCAAAAATTCATGCACTCGGGGAGGGGGGGTTCTCTCAGCCCGGCCTGACCCCTCGGGGGATGTCCACCTGCCAGCTTAGGCCTGGCAGCTGGGAGCTTTCGGGAGATGTCCAAATGACAGCTTAGGCCTGCTGTCTTCGGGGAGTGGGCCTAAGCTGCAGTTGGACATCCTTAGCGCTGCTGAAGAGGTGGGAGAGGCTCCCGCCACCGCCACTTCACTTGCAGCCGTCAGCCCTGCTTGTGGCTGAGCAGAGCTCCCCTGTGGAGCGCACTGACCACCAGCGGGCAGCTCCTGCATTGAGCATCTGCCCCCTGGTGGTCAGTGTGCATCATAGTGACCGGTCATTCCGAGTTGTTCCGCCTTTAGGGTCAATTTACATATTACCCTTTTATTATACAGGATGTTTTCTAGATTTAGTTAGTGAAATCCCATCAAACTGGCTCTCAAGTCCTTTTGTTATAATCCTATTAGTCTTTGAGCACTTCCTTATTTTCTGGCATAAGAAGGTGTTTCAGGCCCATCTTGCACAAATCAGCTGTTTCTTCAGAATCCTGGGCCCTTTAAGTGGAAGAATGGTATTTGAAACCAAGATCTCAGTGTTAGATGTGCTCATTGCCACTACTACAAGATCCTAGAACCTTTACTGTTCAGACTTCGAAAAAAACATTTTAAAAAAATCAAGGCTTTCTATTGATAATTCTAATTCAAATATAACATTTAGGATTTTACCTTATTAGTTTGTATTCTATGTCTTTTTTTTCTTTCAGTGAAAATTTGCTTTCTAATAGCATTACCATAATTATTTATTTACCTTATCATGCAATATACATAAAACAGTCTCAACCAGCCCGGCTGGTGTGGCTCAATGGTTGAGCATCAACCCATGAATAGAGAGGTCCTGGGTTCTAATCTTGTTCAGGGCACATGCCTGGGTTGCAGGCTTGATTCCTGATAGCAGGTGTGCAGGAGGCAGCCGATCGATGTCTCTCTCATCATTGATGTTTCTATCTCTCTGTCCCTCTCCCTTCTTCTCTCTCTCTAAAAAAAAAATTAATAAAAACATATTTATAATAGTCTCAACCTTAATATTAAAATTTCCACTAAAAATATAAACCTATTTGGTAAAGTTTCAGATTTCTTTGAAGCGCTTTATATCCTTAGACTATAACCCATGGTTAGAATACTATGTTCATAATATTTGAAATAATTAAATTCTCTATGTGGTCCTGTTATTAATTGGATATACAGTTTTATTCATTTGTGTCTATTAGTACTAGTGGTGTGCCTTTTTCATTTTTCTGTCTCTATTTTTTAAAATAAATAAAGGATTCGCAATGTTTAAAAGCCAAAACTATAGAAAAAAGTATATTCAGAGAAATCTTACTTCCATCACTGCCTCTAGCCCTGTTTCTACCTATTCCCTATAGGTAACCATTTTTATTACTTTCTAGTTTATCCTTTCTCTCTTTTCTTTTTCTTTAGTTCTTTTTAAAATCAAATTGTAATATATATTTTACATTTTTTTGTGCAAAACTAAGCAAATATATTAATATGTTATTTCCCCATTTTTCTTGCACAAAAGGCAGTATATCAGATACCCTATTCTGCATCTCTCTTTTCTCCCTTACAACGTGTCTTGGAAATTACATCAATTTCCAGAAATGGTTCTCTTTCTTATTTTATTTCACAGCTGCATAGTACTCCACTCTATATGTTTACTGTAGTTTATTCAGCCACTCTCCCATGGCCATTTGGATTATTTCCATTTTTTTTGTTACTAATGATGCCACCTGGAGTAACCTTGGGTATGCATGTTGGTTCATATCTATGGGGGTATCTTTTGGAAGGTTCCTAGAAATGGGATTGCTGGATTAAAGGTAGAAGCACATATACTTTTGTCAGATATTGCCAAATCCCACCCCCCGCCCTTACAGGGGTTGTACTATTTGCCCTTCTCTCAGCAATACTTGAGAAGGCCAGTTTCCCTGGTGGGTGCATACTACACACTGTTTACGAAGGATTTTATAAAGATATCTAAGTGACTTCAGATTCTCCAGTTGGTTCTGAGAGTGAGCTGGAGACTATCTGGGTGTTCTGAGACCGCTAGGGAAGTAGCCAGGTTTGGTAGAGTCCTGAATCCAGTGGACAGTTAAGGAACATTTTCTAACGGGGTGCAGTTAACACCAACTGCCCCGGCTGGTGCCCATCTCTATCCCCTTGCTCTAACCAATTCAACATACAGCTTTTTAGCTTGTTACCACTAGTCTATGCCTTTTTTTTTCTTTTTGCTGGTTTTCTGGTTCTTGGAGCCCACTTTGTCTGCTGGAAAGCGGGCCAGATGTGCTGGGGAATTCATGCCTCTGCTAACCCCAGAGCAGCCTTCAGAGGGACTGCTAATCTGCCACTTGGATTTTAGCCGAGGGAAACTGACTTTAGACTTCTGACCCCAGCCTGCAAGACAATAAATCATGTTATTTTAAGTCACCAAATTTGTGGTATTTGTTACAGCAGCCACAGGAAATTAATATAAAAGGGCATCTTTAAAAAATTGCAGCTGACATCATACTAATTGGTGAAAAAAATAAATGCTTTCCCCTAAGATCTTTAACAAGATAATAAATGTACTCTTTCCACTTCTGTTCAACTGGAGATCGTAGTCAGAGCAATAATGCAAGAAAGAGAAACACATAGAAATAAAGAGTTTGGAAAAGAACAAGTAAAAATGTTATTCACAGAGAACATGATCATCTATAGAAAATCCCAAGGAATCTACACAAAGTCCTACTGATATTAATAAGTGAGCTTAGCAAGGTTGCAGACTACTGATCAATATTTAAAAAACAGTTGTATTTTTATATACTAACAATAAGCAATTAAAATTAAGAAAACAGTATCATTTATAGCAGCATGAAAAATATGAAACACATATGGATGAATTTGACAAAAGATAAGCAGGACCTATATACTGAAAGCTACAAAGCTCTGTGGAAAGAAATTTAAACAAAATCTAACTAAAGGGAGAGGCATACTATGTCCATGGACTCTAAATTAATCCATAGTTTCAATGTAATCCAATTCAAAATCCCAGCAGAATTTTTGTAGAAAATAGCAAGCTGATTCTAAAATTTATATGGAAATGCAAAAGACCTAGAATAGCTAAAACAAACTTGAGAAAGAACAAAAGTGGAAGACTAACAGTAATTGTTTTCAAGGCTTGCTATAAAACTGTAGTATTCAAGCCAGTGCAGCATTGGCATAAAGATAAATATACAGAATAATGAAATAGAATATAGAGTCCAGAAACAGACCCACACATATAAAGGAACTTGATTTTTTACAGAAGTACCAAGGCATTTCAAAGGGGAAAGAATAATCTTAGCAGCATATGGTGCCAGAGCAATTGAATATAAAAAACCAACTTCTATCCTTACCTCACACCATGAATGCAAATGAAGTAGAAATAGATCACAGACCTAAATGTAAGAGCTTAATCTATTAAACTTCTAGGAAAAAAAACATAACTGAAAATCTTAAGGCCCTTGGCACAGGTTTTAAAAATAGGATAGAAAAATAAAAAGTTGATAAATTGGACTTTATATAAAAAAACTTCTGCTCTTCTATAGACACTGTTAAAAAATAAAAAGGCAAGCCACAGAATGAGAGGAAATACTTGCAAAACACAATCTGACAAGAGATTTATACCTAGACTATATAAAGAACACTTATAATGAGCAATTAAGACAAATAATTCAATTTAAAAGATGGAACAGATACTTTACCAAGTAAGATATACAGATGGAAAATAAGCATGGAAATTATTCTCAACATCATCAATCATTCGAGAAGTTCAAATTAAAATCACAATAAGACACGGCTACACCCCCATTAGAATGGCTAAGATTTAAAAGACTGATTATATGAAGTGTTAATAGACTCCAGAGCAGCTGGAACTCTCATACACCGCTGGTGGGAGTGTAAGTTGATACGACTCAATTAGAAAACAGCTCGGCAGTTTTGTAAGAAGTTAAAACATACACCATCCTACTCCACCATTCTATGTCTAGATATTTATCTGAGAGAAATGAAAATCTATGTCCATATAAAAACTTGTACAGAAATGTTTATAGCAACTTTATTTGTAAAAGCCAAATTCTTAAAACTATCCAAATGTCCATCAATAGTTGAGTGGACCAATAAATGGTGGTGCATTCCCAATGGAATACTATTCAGCAATAAAAAAGGAATGGGCTCTGACACGGGTGAATCTCAAAATAATTATTCTGAGGGAAATAAGCCTTGCAAAAAAGAGTACGTATCATAAAATTACATTTTATATAGAATTTTAGAAAATGTAAACTAACCTGTAATGACAGAAAACAGACCAGTGTTTGCCGGGACGTGGGGTGGCAGGAACACTGAGAGGAGAGGTATCACAAAGGGTCACAGAACCTTCTGGGAGGTGATGGAAATGTTCATTGTCTTGAATGTAATAATAACATCACAGATATATTCATGTCCAAATTCATCAAGGTTTAGACTTTAAACATGTGCAGGTTACCGTACATCAAGTTTACTTTAATAAAAGGGATATGCAGAGAAGTGTAGACATAATTTAGCAGATAATAAATATTTACTGTGGGCTTTAAAAAAATTTACTTAGAAACACCGTCAAGATTTTCTTTGTAAATACATTTCGTAGAAGAGCCCACAGCATCTTGATGGTGCTATGTATGACAGGCTGAATGAAAAGGTGAGATTCCAATGGAAAATCTCACTTAATAAAACAGAATTTCCAGTAAATTATCCTCTTTTCACAATCAGGCTACCCTGGGACTCAGATAAAATATTCCAGTGTTTTGTAAGGTCTTTGTCTAAGAGGTCATCTATGAAAAGTTGTTTTAGGAAGGAGACATCCAGTTGGAAACCTGGTTCCATCTGAGAGAGAGAGAAATGGAGAGAGAGAGAGAGAGAGAGAGAGAGAGAGAGAGAGAGAGAGAAGAACCATTATACTCTAGGGACAACACACCAGGGGCAAAGATCCTGCCTTCATTCCCAAGGCACCCTCTTGTCCTGGCACAGTTCTTCTGTGATACTGTGAATCTTGGTGCACCAATGCTGGGCTGTGGGACCAGCCGTGAAGGTGAGCCCCAAGGTGGGCTCGTCACTCATCAAGGCGCCTTGGCCTCTGAGTTCTTTACTTGACAAAAGATAAGCAGGACCTATATACTGAAAGCTACAAAGCTCTGTGGAAAGAAATTTAAACAAAATCTAACTAAAGGGAGAGGCATACTATGTCCATGGACTCTAAATTAATCCATAGTTTCAATGTAATCCAATTCAAAATCCTAGGTGGGGTGCATGCCTAGAACCTTGGTGGTCCGGGCATGGGGCTCGGGGGTGGAGACCATAGCCATCTAGCTTGGTGATCATGGCCGCTCTCCCTCTGTGCTCAGGTGGAACACCACGCCTTGCTGTCGACCTTGCAGCTGTTGTACACGGTGGGCTATTCCCTCTCCGCTGTCGCCCTCCTCCTGGCTCTCACTCTCCTCCTGTTTCTTCGGTGAGTGGAACTCCGCGGGCGTGTGCTCAGGCGTGGGCCCTGGAGCTTGCGCACTGGCTACCTCTAGAATGCAGTAGAAGACTGGGCCGGGTGCGGGCCGGGCTCATCAGAGCTGGAAAGGGGTCTGAGGGAGTTCCTGGTCCACCCATCCCTTTTCCAGAGGAAGGGGGATGAATATCAGAGGTCCACTGAGAGCCACGGAGTCGCCCCAGTCACCAAGCCCAGTGAGAGCTGGAATCTGGGGTCCTAACTCAGCTTTTGCTTCCTTTGGTTTGGATAACCTATGTGCCGGGCCCTGCTCCAAAGTCCCAATCACACCCACTGCTACCACAGCCCGTTCTCACCACAGCGCTGCCAGAGGCATGATTTTTACAGCAGAGATTAAGAAAGGTCTCCAAAGCAGGTGAATGAGGGGTAGAGATGGGATTTCAGTCTCCAATTAGCTGTGTTTCCTGGTGCCCGGGCGCTGTCCTAAGTATGTTACATGCGCTGAGTCATTTAAATCTCATCCTGATCCGAATCAAGCTGAGTTCTGATTCTAGGGGATTAGCGCTGTTATTACCCCATTTTGTAAGTGAGTTACTGAACTATGGGGAGATCGAGGAACTGGCCCAAGATCACACAGCTGGTGAGCGATGGAGCCAGGACCACGACCAGGCAGTCCAGCGCCTCAGCATTTTCACTCCCTAATACTCTCTGTCAGAAGCCCAAGCCTCCGTGCATTTTATTAAATTACGTTTTTAAAAATTCCCCGAGTGAGACATTTATAGAGCCACAGGGGAGCCCTCTCAGGCTCTCTCCGCTCAGCCCTTTCGGGAACATCACTGAGCACATAACACGGCAGAAGGAGAGTTTGGCACGGAAGCAGGAGACCTGCATGGGGACCGTGGAGACCTGGATGCCAGCTCCAGAGCAGCTCCCCTCCTCGGCTCTCCACGCCCAGGTCTGGCCCTCCCTGACCCTTAACCTCAGGGTGGTCGCTGGCTCCTGGAGCAGGGTAATGACCTTCTGCTCCAGGGAGAGCAGTTCCTGAACAACAGGAGAATCGCACAGCCCGGACCCACTGCTGCGGGTGACCACCTCCACTCACCTTCCCAAAGTCTCAGAACCGAGCCAGGAGAAAGGCGCTGCCCGGCGCCGCAGGGAGTAACTTCAGCAGAACCCGGGTCAACCGAGTGTCCGTTTGTCTCGGGCACTGGGTAGAGTAAGACCCCGCCCCTGCCCTGGAGTAGTCCCCAGTCTAGTTAGGGAGAAGGATGCATACATGCTGAAGTGCAAGGACCTGCTTCAAATCTGCCTTCAAAATTAGAAAAGACGAATAGCTCTAAAGCAAGGCAGGTGCCGCCCAGGGGCCCAGGCCCAGCTATGAAAGCCAAGTGAGGCAGCTTTCATCAGCCAGGACAAGGTGGAGCTGCAGGAGGCTCCAGGTGGGAGAGGCAGAGGCAAGGAGAGCTGACCATTTCTGGGCGCTTGTTCTGTGCCTAAGTGGGTGCCTGTGTGAGCACTTCTCACCCAGGAACTGCCTGAACCCTCCCGCAGCCCTGGGAGGCAAGCCCTCTTGTTCTTTCAGGCCGCAGAGCCTGGGAGAGCCGTACGTTATAGCCTTAGAGTTTCCGGGTTCAAATCTCAGCTCTACCACTTACTGCTCTGGGACTTTGGACAAGTGACGTAACCTTTCTGCCGTGATCTCCCCAGTAGTAAGATCAGGGCAATAATGGTACCTACTCCTTCAGAGGTTGGAAGGAGCAAGGGTACCCACAAGCCCTCACTGTAAATGGCTTGGGACGTAGCGGCGTATGTGGGCCATGTTATAAAGGTGTCAGCTATCATTATCCTCGCATCGCAGTTGAGGAAAATGAGTCACAGAGAATAAGGTCACATATCCCAGCCAGCCCGCTCTGGAGCCTCCACCGAACCCCCAACCTGTAGTGGATACGCAGTGTTTCAGGCACAACCCGTTGGCCGGCACCGCCTTTCCTGAGGGAAGGAACGTGGTTTCCTCCCGCACAGAAAACTCCACTGCACCCGCAACTACATCCACATGAACCTGTTTGCTTCCTTCGTCCTGAAAGCCCTGGCCGTGCTGGGGAGGGACATCGTCTTCCACAACTCTTACTCCAGGAGGCCCGACACCGAGAGGCAGTGGGTGTCCTACATGTCCGAGGTATGTCCTCCACCGGGTGGGTCAGTGCTGGGTCAGAGGGCAGGGAGGGGGCTGGAGAGGGAGGAGGGGGATGAAGGGGGCCGGAGGCTTTGTGGTCAGACGGGCATCACCTCTGAGAGTGGGGCAGGGTAAAGAGAATCAGCAGCAGAAACTTCACTGTGGGGCTGCTGAACAGTCCTGGGGTGGGGATGCTTCATCTGTACATACAAGAAGAATTAAACCAGATCCATCTTTTTATGATTACTATTTTGTTGTTGTTGTTAATCCTTACCCAAGGATATTTTCCATTGATTTTTAGAGAGATTGGAAGGGAGAAGGAGAGACGGAAACATCGATGTGAGAGAGACGCATCGATACGTTGCCTCCTACATGCGCCCCATCAGGGCCGGGGGACCTGCAACCAAAATACTTGGCCTTGACCAGAATCGAACCCGGGACTTTTCAGTCCGTGGGCCGACGCTCTATTCACTGAGTCAAACAGGCGAGGGCTATTTTTATTAATTTTATTAAAGCAGCAGAGCTTTTCCACATTGAAATCTGCATCTGTGGACATGGTTTTTCCTTTATCCTGTTAATGACGAATGCAGCAGCCTGTCAAACTAACTGCATTCCTGGAATAAACCCAACTAGGTTCTGACACATCGTTCTTCCTTTTCTATCGCTGGATCCCGATGGCTAATACTGTCTTTGGTTTAGCATTTCTCACCTACATTCGTGAGTAATTTTCTTTTATTGTAATGCCTTTGTTAAGCTTTTGGATAAAGTTTATGCTGACCTCTTAGATCGGACTTGTTCCCTCTTTCTCTAGTATCTGGAAGAGTTGATTGAAGATGGGTATTATTTCTTCCTTAACTGTGTGATAGATTACACCAGTGAAGCCATGTGGGCCCAGAGTTTTGTTTATTGGGAGGCTTTTAGTTATAAACTAATTCTGTCTCATATTTACATTTTATATTTCTTCTGGGGTCACAAGGTAAAATTTATGTTTTTCTAGGAATTTGTCTACTTCATCTAATGTTTTAAATTCATTGGCATAATATTGTCCATAGCTTCCTAAGATCATTTAAAGGTCTATTGCGTCTGTAGTGGTGTTCCTTTCTTCCGTTCCTGATATTGGTCATTTGTAGCTTCACTCTCTTCCTCTGCCCCCTTTCTTGTCTTTGCCAGGAGTTCCTCAGTTTTATTGGAATTTTCAAAAACTGAACCTTTGGCATTGTTGATTCTCTTTATTTTATGTTCTCCATTTCATTAACTTCCGCTTTCATCTTTATTATTTTCCTATGTGCTTTCGTTAAGTTTATTTGCTCTTCTTTTTCTGACCTAATATTTAAGGTAATTGATTTTCAGCTTTTTGCTTAAATTATTTAATTGATGCATTTAAGGCTACACGTTTCATTCTGAGTGTGGAATTAGCTGCATAGCACACATTTTGATATGCAGTATTTTCCTTTCATTCAGTTCAGAAGGAAGTTCTAATCTCTGTTATCATTTCTCCTTTGATTCATGAGTTATTTAGAAGTTCATTTCCTCATTTTCAATCATATGCAGATTTTTTGGTTGTTGATGTCTAGTTGAATTGAACTGAGATCAGAGAATAAACCCTTGTTTCCTTTAGGGAAGTTGCTGATAAGATTCCTCTGTTTTTGTTTGAAATGAATAAAACTAAAAAAAAAAAAAAAAAAGACCGTACCCTTTTATGTAATGATGTTTACTTTGAATTTATATTAGTTCACACAAACACTCCATCCATGCTTTTGTTCTGGCCCTCCTGTCCAGTTTAAGAACCCATTTCTCCACCCTCCTGTGGCCCCGACCCTGGGGGAGCCTGGGCCCAGCTGCGGGTGCTCTGTCCTCTGCAGATTTCTACCTCCTGCCGCTCCGCCCAGGTTCTGCTGCACTACGTCGTGGGCGCCAACTACTCCTGGCTGCTGGTGGAAGGCCTGTACCTCCGCACGCTGCTGGAGCCCACGGCGCTCTCCGAAAGGCGGCTGTGGCCCACGTACCTGCTGGTGGGTTGGGGTGAGTGATGTGAACCCCCAGCCTCTTTTTCTGGGGACTCTTCAGATCATGGGGGCCCAGTAGAGCCTTTGGTCAGAGTTAGACACCCAACTGGAGTGTGCAAGCAATGCACACGCACACACAAACGTGCCGCAGACCCAACACACACATGCAAACACTGGTAGAATCGTGACATTTCTCCTACCCTGTCCCCAGTCGTATTGGTCTGCTCAGGACGTCATAACAAAATGCCATAGACGGCACGGCTTATACGATGGACAATTACTTCTCACAGTTATGGGGGATGGGAAGTTTGAAATCAGGGTGCCAGCATGACTGAGTTCTGGCGAGGGCCATCTTTCTGGCTCGCAGACAGCTGTCTTCTTGCTGTCTTCACATGGTGAGGGGTGCGGGGTAGCGAGAGAGAGTGTGCACAGCTCTCTGGTCTCTTCTTACAAAGGCATTGATCCCATCATGATGACACCCCTGCCTCCCCCCAACCTCTTCCAAATTCAGTTACCTCCAAAGGTCTCATCTCTGAATGTTATGTTATTACATTGGGGTTATGGCTTCAACATATTAATTTGGAAGCGGGGGGTGGGAGACATAAACCATAACACTAAGTCTTCAAGATGAGATCTGGAACCCCTGCTGCCACAGCTTCTGGGGAATGTGAGGCTGCAGAATTCAGAGGAAATGACCTTGGCCTTCAGTTCAAAATATTTTGGGTAACATCTCTGAGTGGACTCCAAGCTGCTTTGTGACATGTGACAAGTCTGTCCTCTCTGCTTCCTGGTTTGCTGACAGTGAAGCAGTGGACGGGCTATAGCCCTCGCAGCCCACTGTGCTATGATGTTCAGGTTTTTGTCAGATTCAACCAGCAGTGCTTGGCCCATCAGGCTGGGGCAGGGACAGGCAGGTTTGGCCAACCAGCAACTAACTACACTTGCCTGTTCTCTCCCCAGGCTTCCCACTGCTGTTTGTTGTGCCCTGGGGTATCGCCCGTGCGCAGCTGGAGAACACAGGGTAGGCAATTCATCTGTTTTCTCACTTCCATGAGCCAGTCATTCCCAAATATGCCCAAACGCAAGGCTACACATCATTTTTCCCGAGACCATCCACCCCCTTCCATTTTGGCCATCTACAATATACCGAGTGGGGGACTGGGTGGGGGTGATGGTGGAGGGATTGAGCAAAAAGAAAAATAAAGGGAAAAAACTCATGGACATGGACAACAGTGTGGTGGTTGCCAGGGGCAGAGGGGTAGGTAGAGGACAGTATAGAGGGGATAAATGGTGATGGATGGAGACTTGGCTTGGGGTGGTGAATATACTGTACAGTGTACAGATGATGTGTTGTGTGCACCTGAAACCTGTATAATTTTGCTAACCAGTATCACCCCAATAAATTCAATAAAAAGGAAAAAATTAAAAATAAAATATATCTAGGAATGTAGATAAAAATAATCAAAGATTTTCCTTAGAGTTTATTAAGTCATGCCTGCCGATTAGCACAAAATTAGACAGAATAAATTAGAAAATAACACAAAAATTTGCTGCATACCTTATCCGTGACCTGGGTATATAAGCATACAGGTACAAGAATGGTTATTGCATCATAATTCAAAGTGGGAGAAAAAAAGCAAAGAGGAAGGGGTGGAAGTGGTCAAAAGATTCAAAATTCTGGTTATAAATGAATAAGTCCTGGGAGGTAATGTACAGCATGGTGACTGTAGTTAACATAACTTTATTGTGTATTTGAATGTTGTTAAGACAGCGAGTCTTAAAAGTTTTCATTATAAGAAAAAAAATTATAACCATGTGAGGTGATGGATGTTAACTGGACTTATTGTGATGATCATCCTATATAATAAAAGCATAATATGCTAAGTGTTCGACCGATCTGTTGACTGTTCGGTCGACCGCTGGACCAGTCGCTATGATGCACAAGGGGGCAGGTGCTCTGACTGGTAGGTTAGCTTGCTGCTGGGGTTCGGCCAATTGGGGATTGGGCTAGAGGGCCGGACATACCCTGGAGCCCTCCCACGGTCCCTCCCCAGCTGGTCAACCTCCCACAGACCCTCCCCGACTGGGCAGCCTCCATCGGCCCTGATTGGGACTGAGTGAGATGGATCTGATTGGCCTTGATCACCAGCCAGGCCAAGGGACCCCACCCGTGCATGAATTTGTGCACTAGGCCTCTAATTTCACTATATTTGTGTAGTAAATCATCACGTTGTGCAACTGAAACTAATATAATGTTAATCTGGCAATTATATTTCAATTTAAAAAATAACAAAAAACCCTAACCAAACAAAAAGACCCTGAACATTCATCAATACAGGAATTAATGAATAAATTGTGACCTACCTATATTGTGGAATATTATGAGACTACTGAGAAAACATGTTAATTCTATATCTTCTGACTTCTAGGGGCTGAATCTCAATAGCACATTGTTAAGGCTTTTGCTGAATAACGCTTATGATCCCACGTGATCCCATTTTTTTCTCCAAATAATCCACCATCAAAAAGTCCTTTATGTAATTAAGAATTTATATTTCCATGAATACAAGACAGGTGTAGGCAGATATACACCAAGCTTTAGCATCGAGGAGCACTTTAGTGGTTAGAAAAGTCAACACTACTGTACTTGTAGGAAGGAATGTGAGTCCTCTCTTCTTCTCTTCCACCCCTCAGGAGAAGATGGCTTGAAGGTAAGTCTTGAGTATGAGCATCCTTTTTCCAGAGGTCATGCAGCTTTTGCATTCAACCTTACCTCGATTTAAAGTCTTCTTCTACTGTCTGCTCTTTGCTGTAGATGCTGGGTAAACAACCGAAATAAAGCAATCTGGTGGATCATCCGAGGACCCATACTTCTTTGTATAGCAGTAAGGACCATCCCATCTACCCATTTTCCCCCTCTGAGCTCAGCAGCTGTGGAGGACCATGCCCCCTCCCTCCCCACCAAATTCTCTGGCTCAGAAAGAGCCCCTGGGCCAGATCCCTTGAGAAGGAGATGCTGAGCTGTGAGTAGGATCTGCTGAATGAAAAGGAACAAGTTAGAAACTTCTCTGTGTTCTGGTTCAGGACCCAAGTTCAGGGTTGTATACAAGCCTCCTTCTCTCTGGGTCTTCAGACATGCTCTTGGTAACTATGGATTAAACGGTTGTGATGGGGATACAGGCGTATCAGGCGCGGGCCAGCCCAGGGATAGCCTTGGGTTTTAACACCACTAGTAGGAGGGAGGGGACACCCGGGGAGCTTCTTTTAGGGACGAAAACATAGAATCAAGATTGACCCAAAGCTGTGATGGGCGTGAGAGTCAGGAGATGCTGCTTCTGTGAGACCCTGAGGAGGAAGAGCCTTTATTCCATGTGGCCCAGGATTTGGGGGCTGGGGAAGGAATGCTTGGTCCAGAGTCCTAAAGTTTTCTTAGGTGGAGGGAGAGAGAGAGAGAGAGAGAGAGAGAGAGAGAGAGAGAGAGAGAGAGAGAATATATAGATAAATAGACAGACAGATACCAGATGGAAGCCATCCTTTTGAGGACCTAGCCTTAGAAGACACATAGCATCACTTCCACCATATATTTTTCTTTAGATGCCAATAACGAAATCTAGCTCACACTCCAGAGGGAAGGGGGACCTTTGGCTCAGCCTCTTGATGGATGAGGCGTCAAAAATTTTGTAAACAGATTTTAAAATTTCTACCAAGGCTGATAACGAAGAGCTGGCTTTTCCTAGTTCATGCAGTTGTGGGAAGTAGTCTAGATAGCGGAGAACATGTACTTTCCAGTGAATTCTGTGGCAGCAACAGGATCTCAAAATCAGACACCAAGAGTGCTGGAGTTCTTTCCAGAAGGGAGGCTGTGGCAGTTGTTCTTAAGTGCAGGGAGGTTTGTAATCAGATAAATCTAGATTTAGTTAGTGACTCAGTCACTTACTAGCTGTGCCACCTTGGAAATTGCACTTGTCTCCTCTGTGCCTCTGTCTGCTCATTGTATCGTGTCATAAAAATAGCGTGGCTTCCTCAGAGGGTTATTGTGAGGATTAAATAAAATAATGTTTGGACAGTTAGCCAATGCTTAGCATGGTAAGTGCTCAATAAACATTAGTTAATGATGATAATGTACGTGTCCTTCTGCCTTTCTCGGACGACTGTAGTGGTGGGCATTCCGGAGGCAGAAGAATAAACTAAATGACTTTTCAGGGCCCTTCCCAGGCTTTCGGTGGAGGTGGCCTTAGGGAGAGTGAGGTTTACTGTAAGCTCTTTCTACCTGACCGCTGACTGCCAAGTTGCCCCTAGTTTACCTGGACAGGGATCTGATGGCCAGGCCCAGGGTGACCTCAATAGTCATAGCCACATGGACTCCATCACTTACCCTTGTCTGCTTTTTCCAAGGTCAACTTCTTCATCTTCCTGAAAATTCTCAAGCTTCTCATTTCTAAGCTGAAAGCCCATCAAATGTGCTTCAAAGATTATAGATACAGGTGAGTAGCCTGAGGTCCGTATCCAGTAGTCTTAAGACCGTTTTGACCCCTCTGGCTGTTCTGGCCAATGCCTGGGGGTGTGTGGGAGGCAATGAGTTACATTAGTATGTTTATCTCCTCAGGCAAGGGTGTCAGGGAGAACCCCTCTGAGAAAGGAGTCATGGGATCATGTAGGGTTTTTGCCAATGGTGAGGACTTTCTGGCCCCAGGAAAACGAAGTAAGTGGTGAGTTGTCAAGGACACGCACATCCCCCCAGTAGGAAACTGTTGAGATGCTCCTAAGAATGGCTGGTTTACAGGGAAAGGGAGGAGTCACATGAAAGGAAGTTAGTCACCTATCTTTGGGAGGGATTTGAGGTCACAGAATAAGAGACATATTCATAACGCAGAAGAGAATAGTTGGGTACTTTTGAAACCTTGGGATATCAGACCACAAACGTTTGAAGTCCCAGGAAATGCATTCAGCACACAGTCACTCTGTCTTTGTGACTTGCCTTTGCTGTGTCCCATCTTCTGCCTTCCACCGTGACAGTGGTCCCAGTTCACAGCAAGTCGGGTCACAGGTACTGAGATCTGCATTGCTGGAGATACAAATAAATGAATAAATGAAGGAACAAATAAATGAATAAGTGGCATAACAAGATCTCTCCTTCCTTTTCCAGTTACTCTTTACTGTCTATGAGACTTGTCCACTTCAGCAGGGCTCTTGCGAAAGGACTGTGTTTTTTTAAAAAGTATATTTTATTGATTTTTTACAGAGAGGAAGGGAGAGGGATAGAGAGTTAGAAATATCAATGAGAGAGAAACATCGATCAGCTGCCTCCTGCACACCCCCTATTGGGGTTGTGCCCGCAACCAAGGTACATGCCCTTGACCAGAATCGAACTTGGGACCTTTCAGTCCACAGGCCGATGCTCTATCCACTGAGCCAAACCGGTTAGGGCAAAAGGACTGTTTTAAACTAAAAAAAGTAGCTCTCAGAGTAGGGATTCTAGTCCACATGGTAGGACAGAGGCGGGGGTGTGAGTGGGGATGGCTATAGCTCTGTTTCCCACTCACCTAAGGCCAAAACGGGGCCTGACCCAGGTGTGCGAGAAGGTAGTTTTTCCATTTACCTGACAAACATTTAACGAATGCCTCCAGTGTGTCTGAGACTGTGCTGGGAACAAAAGGTAAAGACGACGTGGACCCTGACAGTGAGGAGCACACACTCACTTGCCAAGGACTGGGACGTTGGTGTGGAACTAGAGTCAGCAGGGCTGATGCTGGCCATGACCTCAGACTGACCTTGGGCAAGTCACTTGGCCTTTCTGGGCCTGTTTTCTGGTGTGTAAAGTGAGAGTCCGCACCCGGGACACCTCCCTCTCGTTATGAGGATAAAGGAGGCCATAGACACAGGCGTCCCAGTCTCATCAGATGTGGTAAGTGGTATTTGCCCAGGACTCAAACCCCGAATCCTACCCACCTCCAGGAGGTCAGAAGAAGAAACACACATGGTTCAGGACTGGGAAAATATACACTGTAGTTGGCCCAACTCTTTTGCAAACACCCCAGCCCTGGGCCACTTGGGCTGGCCTGGACCACACAGGGCCTCCCTGTCCTTGGCGCCTCTGATCGAGCCTCCAAGTGGCTGACAGTTGCTTTGGCTCTTTTCCCAAGGCCCAGCCTCTCTCGCCACTCTCTGAGCGGGGAGGACCCAGGCCAAGAGCAGAGCTGAGCTAGTCTCCTCTGTGCGGGTCCCTTCAGGGGGAGCCGTTCTCTCAGGAACACCCTGGAAACCCCACAGAGGACAGCATTCCTGAAGACTTTCCACCAAGGCTGAGCGCCTAAACCCTGTCACTTTGTGCCCCCGAAGCCCACCATGTACCACTTGGTCTCCGTGCTCCAGGCCCAGAGCAGTCCTTCTAATAGCTTTCCATCTAATAGCTAAGCATCTCCTGTCACTCGGCCGAAAACACAGGCTGGTGAGCCTCCACGGAGTGTTCTGACTCAGGGAGTGAGGGGTGGAGTCCATCGTTGGGCTTTTCACAGTCGACTTCTCCAGGAGATTCTGATACACAGGCAGAGGGGGGACTACAGAATCAGATGCTCTAATGCAGTGGTTCTCAACCTTCCTAACGCCGTGACCCTTTAATACAATTCCTCATGTTGTGGTGACCCCCAATTTCATTGTTACAAATTGAACATAATTAAAGCATAGTGATTAATCACAAAAACAATATGTAATTATATATGTGTTTTCCGATGGTCTTAGGAGACCCCTGTGAAAGGGTCATTTGACCCCCAAAGGGGTGGCGACCCACAGGTTGAGAACCGCTGCTCTAGAGAAACCAGGCCTGGAATTGTCTGGTCAGGCCATGGCAAATGTGTTTCTAAGCAGCCTTGATACCCCTTTCCAAGGTCTCCTTTAGAGTTATCCAAGATAGTGGTTTCCAAACGTTTCTGATCATGCATCTCTATTAGGACAGAAATTGTGAGCATGACCCTCATCATATATACACATGGTCTGTGGAACTGTTACATACATTATAACATATACCAAAAAATAGAAAAGGATAAAGGATGGGTAAAAATTAATATACATAGAACTTCTACTACCTTCTTTAGTTCTTTTTTTTTCTAACAGCACTGGAGTGTGTCACCCCATTGGGAGCAAGAATTGAGGGAAGTGTGACTAAAGATACTGGGGAGGCCCTCAGGGCTGAGCAGTGGTTTAGGATTGGCTATTTTGGGGAGAGAAAGAGTAACTGTGCCTGACACACTCAATGCGTCTGAAAACTTCTTTTTCCTTTCCCCACTCTTGTGTGAGGAAAAAGCTTGAAACGAGAAACGTGGGTTCATGCCTACTGGGAGGCCTCCCAGGATGAGACACCTCATCCTGGCAAGTTTGCCTCCAGCTGGGACTGTACTGGGGACCAATGAGTGTGCCCGAGGGGCTGAGACTTTGCAGGGCTGACTGATGCCCCCTGAACTCACAAGAGACTAATATATAAACCAGATTATACAATGATTTATTCGTAGGGACTGTGGAAGGTGGGGGTGGGGTGGAGGCTCCTTCTAGTGCCCCCCCGTCTTTGCAAAGTTGACACCAGAAGATCCAGAAACACAGTGCAGTCACTAGAACGTTATTGGTGATCACGGCATCCAAGTAGAGTAATTGGTGATGAAGGATCCTTGATGGTGGCCTGTGCAACCACCACTGTCCTGTGGTCTCACCTACCTGGTGAGGGGAGGGTCACTCCTCAGTCCCCACAGGTAGAGCTGGCTAAGTCCTGAGACCCTCCTGCTTTTCTGTAGTATTTCCTGCCATTTGGGTTGGCCATGTGCTTTCTGTTCACGGACTTTCCATTGCAGAGTGCAGTGAAATTGATTAGCCTGTGTCTATTCATTAGCAAAATGTCAGGCCTCTATCTCTCAGGACACACCCAGGCCACCTTAGTTTACGCCCGGGCTGGTGAGTCCTACAGCAGCGATGAACGCGTTCGCCCACTCTTCTCTCTAAGCAGTGCTAACTCTCTCATTTCCAAGTTCTCATTTCCGGTCACCTCATGGGCCGTCAGCATGCAAGCTCACACTGCCTTTTCCATGCTGGAAGGTTCTCCCCTACACCCCCCTCCATGTTTGTTTTCTATGAGAGCCCTCTGCTAGGGTAGGGAGAAGGGGGGTGACAGGCATTTTTATACAAACTCCGGTAGGAACAGTTCTACCTCCAACTCTCCCAGATTTTGAGAACTTTCAGGAAGTCGCTCTCAAGAATTGATCCCCCTCCAGGAGTCTATTTTAGGAAAGTTTAAACTAAACACATTTAGACCTTGCCAAAGAGGCAAGCTGCTAGGACCTGGGGAACCTTCTGTAGGCACAGTCCTCGTTTCTAGGCTTCTGCTCCTCAAGTGGAAGCAACTGTAACCAGCCTCAGACTGGGCTGGGAGGGACAGCTGAGCCCCACCTGCAGGCGAGCAAGGCCCTGGGATGCCCACAGACACCCACAGACCTCTGTGTGGTCCTCGATCTCTGTTCTTGGTGGTTCCAGCATGGAGGTGGCTCACTTCCTCTAGATCAGTGGTTCTCAACCTTCCTAATGCCAGGACCCTTTAATACAGTTCCTCATGTTGTGGTGACCCCCAATTTCATTGTTACAAATTGAACATAATTAAAGCATAGTGATTAATCACAAAAACAATATGTAATTATATATGTGTTTTCCGATGGTCTTAGGTGACCCTTGTGAAAGGGTCGTTCGACCCTCAAAGGGGTCTCGACCCACAGGTTGAGAACCGCTGCTCTAGATAAACCGTCTTAACCATCCATCTGATGGGTGGGGCAGAGCGCTTATGGATTCACAAAGGAGAATCACTTAACATGCTAAACCCCAGAGCCCTTCCTGAAAGGACTTTCTGGTGGGCAAAGATGAAAAATATCACAAATGGAAGTAAAATTGATCAAAGTCATTGAGGTTGTAAGTAACTTGAGGGCAGGGAGGGCTTCTTTAAATATAGGGATAGCTAAATTTTAGTGATCATTCATTATGTAGCAAATACCATTTATTTGGAGGGTTTACCATGTGTTAATCCTTATGACAACAGTTCCAGTTGTTATTATTAGTAGTAATATTTTATTTTTATTTCAATATTTTATATTATATTAGTATTTGTATAGTCCTCATTTTTACCAATAAAAAGGTTAAATAATTTGCCCAAGGTTACACTGCTAGCAATTGGTAGCATCGGGATTTGAACCCAGGCCTTAGTTACTGTCCCTGTTGGGATTTGAACGCAGGCCCCAGATACTCTACTGCTTTTGACCCTAGCTCCCCTTTCCCCACTGTAAATATTTATTGAATAGCTAAATGACTGCAATAAACTAAGCCATTTGGTGTGGCTGTTTTTAAAGATTTTTAATTGATTTTTAGAGAGGAAAGGAGGGAAGAGAAAGAGACACATGGATGTGAGAGCAATACATTGATCAGCTGTCTCCTGCACTCCCCCTACCAGGGATCGAGCCTGCAACCTGGGCATATGCCCTGACTAGAATCGAACCTGCCACCTCTCAGTCCCAGGATGGCACCAACCAACTGAGCCACACTGGCCAGGGCAAACTCAGTAATTTAAATAAAAAACAGATGATTAAAGTTGAAAAATAAACATAAACTCAGTTCATAAGAGTAAACTGCTATAAATATTTATGGATTTTTATCTGAACAGGAACACAAATAGTACTCTGCCTAAGGAGAAGTTAGAATGAGGTGAGGCGACACCCATCCCAAGAAGTGGGGGTTACTAAAACACTCCAAAACTTTATAAAAGATGGTCATTCTTTAGAAACCATCCCATGCTAAATGGGAGGTCTTGGATTGGATCCTGTTGTGAAAAAAAAAAAAACACTACTAGAAAAACTTCTGAAATTCTAGTAAAGTCTGGACAATAGTTATTAGTCACCTACCCATGTGGGTTTCTCAGTTTTGACAAATGCATGTGATTTCTGTAAGATCTGAACATTAGGGGACATGGAGTGAAGGGTATCCGGAAACTTTCTGCACTAGCTTTGATACTTTCCCCACATATAAAATTATTCTGAGATAAAAACTTTATTTAAAAATATAATGCTGGGGTGGGGACTGGGTGGAGGGGCTTCATGGGGAAAGAGAGGGGACATCTGTAAAAACCCATAATGCCCTAGCAAGCCCCTAAGAATAAGTTGATGGTAAGACATGGGTCCGAGGGTGAGAATGTAACCCAGAGCGAGGGTCGCAAACTCAAACACTTGCGAGGGCCCAACAGGCAGGTTGGGGGGTGGTAAGTATGTTCCCTCTAAAGGGACAGCCACCACCAGGCTATAGCTGACGATTGCTGGGCAGGCATTTGGGCCCGATCTCCTCATTTTTTCAGAAGAAGCTGGAAAGCTGGACATCATTGCTTAAAGTCTCCTTAGCAATTAAAGGTGGCTTCAGTAACAAAACCACTTCCTACAGCTCATGTTGCCACTGTGCAACCTCGGAGCTAGAGGGCTTTAAAGCACTCCTGGAAATTCAAAACAACAATAAACTCTTGAAATGGTCTCTCCGTGGGAGACCTTCCTGTTGCTTAGCTAAGTGTGTGCTGCGTGGGCGGCCTGAGGGTAGCAGAGCATGCGAGTGTGGCACAGGCCAACCACATAACCAGGCCTGTGTCTCAGGCTCCCACTCCTTGGCCACTCTTTTTCTTTTTTAAAAAAATATTTTTATTGATTTTTTTACAGAGAGGAAGGGAGAGGGATAGAGAGTTAGAAACATCGATGAGAGAGAAACATCGATCAGCTGCCTGGGGCACCCCCCCCCCCACTGGGGATGTGCCCACAACCAAGGTACATGCCCTTGACCGGAATCGAACCTGGGACCCTTCAGTCCCCAGGCCGACGCTCTATCCACTGAGCCAAACCGGTCAGGGCATCCTTGGCTGCTCTTGATGGTCAAGCCCGAGGGACACGCAGTCCAGGCACCTGGGTGGGGTCCCTCTTTCTGGGTGACTCCTGCTCAGCTGGTACTGGCTTTAGGTGCTTTTAGGGCACAAAGGAGAGCGGTGTTTCCTTGATGACATTGCATTTGAACGGCCCTCAGAGACACAGGGTTCATGGTAAGCACTGTTCTCTCTTGGGCAGAGATACACCTTCTGGAAGACACTGCCCATTAGCTGCTGCCGACCCTCCATGGTCCTACCTCTTTAATTCCATGGGGTTTGGGGAAATCTCCTAGTCTAGACCTTTAAGAAAGGGCGTTGGGCTAAAAAAATCATTAAAATTGAGCTCTTTGCCCCCAGTAGGTATAAAACAGTAGCTTTGTTTGTGCCCTGAGTATGAATCACGGTGCTAATGTAGTCAGCTTTACATCAAGAAGCGGCTCAGCGGTAAAAAGCAGTTGTTTCCAAAGGTGGCTCCTCAAAAATTCACATTCCCGGGACCCAGACTCCAGAGGTCTTGTTTCAGAGCCCCGTCCCTGGGGCCGGGAGGATGTGTATGTACAGACGTAGCTCTGTGGGGAATTCTAATAGTCAAATAGCCGTGTTTGGAAGCACCGGTATGTGAGATGGGAGGGTGGGCCCCAGCTGTGCGCTTTGCACGTGGGTGGTACAAAGGAATGTTTGTCTTTTTTGTGAACGGTTTATACAACAGGGAGCTTCCACACGGCACTTTTTACGAGGAGGATCAGTTTCTCATTTCCTCGGCGTCACCGGGGTTCCGGGGCAGCGTGGGGCTGGGGTGGAGCTGCGTGGAGTGAGCAGGGTCTGAGTGTGAAGTCAGAAGCCCTGCTTTCAGGCAAGTATTTGGCACTTAGTGGCTCTGTGACCCAGGAAAGCACTGACATCAGAAGTCCTGAATAGAGAAAGAGACAGAGGCACCACCAGCTAGCCAGGTAATAGGACATTTGTCAAAGCTAGTAGAGGTGTAGGACCCAGGGTGATAGCTGTGTGCATGGCAATCTACCATCAGGCAAAATGTAGATATATCTGTAGGTGTGTCATAATCCATATAGGGGAATTCATTCATTCATTCATTCATTCATTCATTTAATTCATGTTTTCTGAGCATCTGCCATGAGCCAAGTGTTCAGATGCACCAATGAACAAGATCACACTGGCCCTTAAGGCAGTCAATGTGTAGCCAAGAAAACAAATTGGAAAATCAACTGTTTATTAACATGATAGCAGCTACAATAAAGGCATGCACAGAAGAGCAGGAAATGTTGCCTATTCCCAATGGGGCCCTCATGATAGTAATGTGGTTGTCCTTGCAGGTTGGCAAAATCAACGCTGGTTCTCATCCCTTTATTGGGTGTTCACGAGATTCTCTTCTCTTTTGTCACTGATGATCAAGTTCAAGGATTTTCAAGACTTGTACGACTCTACATCCAGTTGACTCTGAGCTCCTTCCATGTAAGTAGGCGTCTGAACCAGGATGCCTTGGCTTTGTAGAAAACAAAATGCCCTTGATCCAAACAGACTCAAAATTGAGAAAGCCCACAGATGGAAATAAAAGTTCTGGAATCAGCAGGCTTTATCAGTGAGGGCCGTTGGCCATAGAAGGGTATGTAGATGGAGGTGTTGCCTTGATCCTGCCAGCATGATGTGGTGACCAAGAAGGGAAAAGTGGCCTGTTTCCTGGGATGTAATAGTTGGTGTGACTCATGATCATATTAACTGTGAGTGTCAACGTGAAACCTTTTATTAAGTGTCTATTTTTGCTGGGTCCTCTGCAGAACATTGTGCAAAATGATTGTTGTGTATACTTCAGGTGATGTCCTCAGAACACAAAAAAACGTAGGTAGGGACCAATGAGTTGAGACCAGGAGGCTCTTGAACCTTGACAGATGTGGGGGGGCTAAAACAAGAAACCGGAGGCCAGCTGTGGTTAATTTACCTGGGTATTTTAATTACTCATTGCTTGAATTGTTATCCATTACTCAGCAGTTTGAAATGACAGTAACTATCATTCTCATGATTCTGGGGGTCTGAAATCCAGGTAGGACATAACAAGGATGGTTCATCTCTGACCCACATGACGCCTGCCAGGGTTGGAACTTCCAAGATGGCTTTTCCACTCAGATGTCTGGTGCCTAAGCTGGAAAGGCTCGGATGGCTAGGGCTGGCCAGAGCGGCTTTATTTGGGTGAAGGTTCTGGGGCTTCATTTCTCACTGCCAACCGCATCCCTCAGTCCCATACAGTCCTAAAGCCTTGCACTTGCTGCATGTCCCCTCTCCATGGTTTCTCTGGCAGGGGAGCTGAATGTCTACATGGCAGTTCAGGGCTCCCCAGGGCACAAAAGCAGGAGCTTTCAGGCCTCCTAAATGCCCGGGCCTGGAAGTCACATAGTGATACTAGTAATGCATTCTACTATTTAAAGCAAGTCATAGACCCAACCTGGACTGAAGGGGAGGAGACTGCACATGCCATGGAAACTGGGAGGCATGGCTCATTAGCAAAGGCCACTAATGCAAAAGACTACCACAAATAGCGTGGACACACAAAAGGTCCTGTACAGTAGTAATGTTGGAATTAATGATCTCAGAATGCTAGCATAGGAGCAGGATTTTCAGAATGGATAAGAGAGGAGCTCAGCAAGTCCTATCTGCAAGAAACAAATATAAAATTGGACAAAATTGTCAACAACATCCATTTCAGGACCCTGGAAATCAACCAAAGGCACACAAAAGACTGAGAAGAGTTTATTCAAGAAGAATTACTGAATTCGCTCGAGTAAGAGCAATGGGAATCTATGTTGTTTTTTTCCAGAGACTGTTCTTGTCCTCCCACCCTTCCTCCATCAATTAGCAAATTCTAGTGAAAACTATCAGCTTCATTGAAGAAAGGGGATGACTTAATATAGATCAGAGAGCATAAAAAGCCCATACCACTGGGCCTTGTCAGATACAGTAATGGTCTTAGTGGCAAAAGAGCAAGGAAAAACAATGTCACAGCCTGAGGCTGTGATCCTAGGTAGGGCAGAGAGGCTCAGTATCAGATTAAGGTGGCAGAAGAAAGCATCAATGAACTTGAAGAAAGTTCAGTTACAATTACCCATTCTGAGAAACAAACAAACAAAAAGAATGAAGAAAAATAATAGAGCTTCAGCTATCTGTGGAATGCCATCAAGAAAATCAACATACACATAGAGGAGTCCAAGAAGGAGACAGGAGATAAGAAAAAGTAGAAAAATCATTTGGAGAAAAATGGTTGAAAACTTCCCAAATTTGATTAAAAAAAAAACATTTATCTACAGAAAACTCAATGAGCTCCAAATAGGATAAAGCAAAGAGATTCACATCTAGAAACATTATAGTTAAACTTTTGGAAGCCAAATACAAAGAGAAAATCCTGAACGTAACAAGAGAACCCTGGCCAGCGTTTCTAAGTGATTGGAGCATCTGCCTGCACACCAAAGGGTTCCAGGCTTGATTGCCAGTAAAGGGCAGGTACCTGGGTTTCGGATTTGCTCCCCACCCTGGGTGGGGAGCGAGTGGGAGGCAACTGGTTGATGTGTCTCTCTCACATCCATGTTTCTCTCTCTCTCTCTCTCTCTCTCTCTCTCTCTCTCTCTCTCTCTCTCTCTCTCCCTCTACACCCCCTCCACTCTCTCTGAAAAAGCAATGGGAAAAATATCCTCGGGTGAGGATTAACAAAACAAAAATGAACGTAACAGGAGAAAAATGACTCATTGCATATGGGGACCAACAATACAATTACAGCTGACTGTGATCAGAAACAATGGAGGCCAGAAAGCAGTGAGATGACATAATCAAAGTACTGCATGAAAAATTATTTAATCAAGGATCCTATATTTAGCAAAATTATGTTTCAAACTTAAGGTAAAATAAAGACATAAATAAAGACTCAGATAATTTATTGCTAGCAAACCCTCCTTAAGAGAAGTACCAAGGGAAGTCTGTTGGGCTGGAAGAAAATGACATTAGTGAATAACGCAAATCCACAAGAAGAAATAGGTAAACACATAGGTAAATGTGAAAGACATAAATATGTATTTTCTTCTTTATTGAGCTGATTTTAAAGGCATAAGATCGCAGAGAATAATTATAAACTCTATTATTGTTTTAAGCTGTAGTATATAAAGATCTAACATATTATAACAATAGTAGCACAAAAGAACAAGGGGGAAATGGAGCTGTATTGGAGGAAAGTTTCTATATTTTGCCAGAATTTTTAATATTAATATGAAATAGATTATGATGAGTCAAAGATGCATGTTGTAATCTTTGATACAAACATTAGGAAAATAACGCAAAGAATATAGTAAGAATGCCAGCACAGGCATTAAAATGGTACACTTGAAAATATCTGCTTACTCCCAAACGCTTTCAATCTCATTGGATCCTCACATTATCTTGTGAGGGAGAAATTATTATACCATTTTCAAAATGAAGGAGCTCAGACTCAGAGGAGAACTTGCAAATACAAATAAGTGACAAATATGTGATTTGTATGCAGGGAGGTTAAGACCTTGCTTGTAACTATTATGCTATCATGCCCCTCAGGTGCCCATGAGGGTCAGAACCAGGAGACGCCCAATTCCCCATATCAGAGTCTTAAAGATGTGCCAGCAGACAGGGTCAGGTGCTGCGATTCTGTGGACAGAGTGGAGACGTGTGCCTGCCCCCTGCACGCTCATGAAAGGCCCAGGGGACAGAGCCTGAGGCGGGGTCAGAGCAGTTGGACAGTGGCTCTTTTTAGAGCTGAATTTTGTGTAGCTTTGAACTGAAAAATAATCAATAACTATTTTTCATCATGAAACCATGTTTCATTTATGTCAATCCTTTGGGAAATTTCAATAGCTAAGGTTTAGTAATTTGGGTTTCCTATGTTGTTTGGGCTTAATCTTCTTTAAAGGGTAATTCTAAATGAGAAAAAAAAACAATAAAAAGCTGCAGCTGTTATCTCATTAGTATTTGGTGGCCATTTTCCCCCCTAAAGGACAGATTTCTGAGAAGGAATTCTAGCGTATCGTACCCTCCTGGCAAGGGAGCGTGTTTGGATTATCTATTGCTATGCAACGAACTCCTACAAAACTTCCTGGCTTAAAGCAGTAATCATGTTATTATCTTTAATGATTCCATGAGCTGGGCCATCTGGACTCAGCAGGATGGTCCTTTTGATACGTGTAATATTTGGCTGGGGCTGCAAACATCTGAAGGCTCAATTGGGCTGGAACCTCCAAGATGGCTCATTCGCATGACTGGACATTGACCTGGGCTGTTGGCTGAGCTCAGCTGAAGCTATCCATTAGAGAGTCGCAGTTCTCCTCCATGTGGCCTCTCCATGCAACGTGGGCAACGTGGGCAGCTGGACCCTTGCAGCATCCCAAGAACCAATGTTTTGAGAGAGAGAGATAAGAAACTTCCAACCTTCTTAAGGCACTGGTTCCAAAGCCCCAGAATATCACTTTTACCACATGGTATTGGTAGAAAAAGCCACAAGCTAATCCCAGATTCAAGGGAAAAATAAGGTCCACCCACCTCTTGACGTGAGGATGAGCATATGCCTACTGAGAGGGGAGGAATCGTTGGGGCCACCTCTGGAGACCAGCTACCACACTGGATCCTTTGGTTCCACAGCCACGTAGAGCTCTGCTCACCACCATGCCACACTGAGGAATGTGAGCAATCAGAGTGGCTCGGCGGCCTGAGCCAGAAAACACTTGGAGGCCTGTGTGTAGTCAGAGGCGCCCCACCCTCTGAATACCCTACACTGTTCCCCTCCACCCCACCAGGCAGAGGTGAGAATATGGGTGGGCAGGTGCGTGGGTGCATACATACATCCTGGTACATATTGTAGTGAATCCACAGGAATCAACATGGGATCTAACAGCCTCCTTTTCTTGCTGCTTTGGAGGGTCTTTCGCTCTTCTAAGGCCTTGTTGCCTAGCGCCTTTCACCAGTTTCCTCCCATTGAGGACTCTTTGGAGAGAGCGCCACGCGGTGGCGAGGTATGTTCTGTGGGACCTCTCCATTTGCGTTTGCTTTACCTAGAATGCAAGTTAACCAGACTCCAGGATGTTCCTGAAACAGTGAATCAGGAATCCGAGGGAATGAAAGGCGTGTTTGTGATGTGGAATCCTATTTTAGCTAACTCGTTTATGAGAATTCCGACACGCTCTAAGCCACCCTTCTGCTATCAAGTGCCCAGAGGCAAATACTACTGGCCCTGCCAACTATACAGGGCACCTGTGGACCTCCAATGAGATTGCATGTGGGAAATGATTGCTTGGTATCACCATGCTCCTGTTTAGGAGCTATAGCCTTGGAATATCTAGCCACATAAGAGGGCAGAAATGCCACACTGGTGGGGAGAAGCCAAGTACAGTGGGGCCTTGACTTATGAGTGTCCCGACTAACAAGTTTTTTGAGATACCAGCTGTTTCTCGGCCGATTTTTTGCATTGAGTTGACAGAGTAATTTGAGTTAACGAGCTCCTTAATGAGCTCCTTAACGAGCTTGGTCTCGAAACGAATTAAACTTGTAAGTCAAGGCCCCACTGTATTTGATTGATACGGCAGCCAGATTTCTGGCTTCCACGGGGAAAGGCATAAAAATCTTCCCCCAGGGCAACATTTTATAATTCCTTCTCAATTTCATCATTTTAAAAAAACCAGTACTGAATCTTCCTTAATAGCAACAGGGCTGAGAGAAATATTCTTAAGAGAAGTGGGGGAGTCAGCCTGCACTATGACCTTCGTGTTAGAATGTGTTTTTTTCCTTGTGAGTTCTGGCATTTCATGAAATTCTTCCTGTAAACCCTCAAGTAATTGGGTCTTGTATGCCTATCCAGCTTCATATATCAGACACACAGCCCGGGTCCCACAGACCCTCACGTCACAGGGAAAGCTATGGGAGGTAGGTTATCACATGTGACTTGAACAAATCAGGAATTGCAGGAGTCTGGAAAAAAACAGTAGAAACAAACATTCACTCAAGCGTCTTTGATTGCAGACCTCTGGCAGTTAAGCAGTGAATCCAGAAAAATTTTCCCTTTATTGAAACTTCCCCTACACAAATTCTTTATCATTGAAAATGCCTATTGCTTTCATTGTGATCCTTGTGTCCACAATTCTAAATAACTAGGAAGATGACACAAAGAAATGGTCCTATCATAGTTTACAAGTGGTACAACAACATACAGGGCAAGACTCTTAGTTGTAAGTTATAGAAACCCGACCCATTCATTCATTCACTCATTCAGTCATTCACTTATTTACTCAACACATATTGGTGAGCTCCGATTATGTGCCAGGCATTTGTTTCAAGTGCTGGGGATCTGGCAGTGAAAAGAGTAGATAAGGATGCTAGTCTTGCTTGGAGGGGCGGGGAATAAGGACAGATAATAATAATAATAATAATCACATTGACAAATAAATAGTATAATTCTGGTGTGAAAAATATAGAATGGACACCAAAAATTTGGTGGTTAGGAAAGACCTTTCTTTTAGATGATATTTGGGCTAAGACCTGAAGCTTGAGAAGTAAGTTAGGCAGAGATTTGAAAGAAGAATGACTCTGAAAACAAAAAGTGTGAAGGGACCTGCGGAAGAACTCGGAGGTGGTAGCCGGTCTCCAAGATGGCGCCCAAGGACCTTTATCTCCTGGTATTGGAGGCTTTGTGTAGTCCTCTCGCACACTGAATGAGGTTCACATGTGTGACCATTGAAGTCGTGTAGGCATGAAGGTATGTGGCCTCTGCCTTGCTCCCTTGAATCGCACCTTTGGGGGAAGACTGCTGCCATGTCATGAGGACAACCAACCCGCTCTCTGGAGAGACGCTGAGGCCTCCTACCAACAACTTGCCAGGCGTGTGAGCCATCGTGGGAGCAAGTCAAGCCTTCAGATGACTGAAGTTCCAACGAGCCTCTGGACAACAACCTGAAAAATGACCCTGAACCAGACTGCCCAGCTAAGCCACTGCCAGAGTCTTGGCCCATAGAAAGTATGTGAGATGATACATCTTTATTGTTCTGATCCACTAGGTCAGGGGTGGGGAACCTTTTTTCTGTCAAAGGCCATTTGGATATTGATAACATCATTGGAGGGCCAGACAAAATTATCAGCTTAAAAATTATGTTGTTATGAAAAAAAGCTCCTAGATTTATTGAATTTCAAGTCCTGCCTACGATTGCCTTGACAGGGCCAGACCAAATGATACAGCCCTCGGCCTGGACATTCCCCACCCCTGCACGAAGTTATACAGCAACAGATGACGAATACATGAGCTTGAGATCCTGGGGGAAGCCAGGAGGCCTGCGAGGCTGGAATACAGTGGCTGAGGGGAAGCGTGATACAAGAAGCCAGTAACACAGACACAGCCCAGATCACCTTAATGCAGCGGTTCTCAACCTGTGGGTCGCGACCCCTTTGGCGGTCGAACGACCCTTTCACAGGGGTCGCCTAAGACCATCCTGCATATCAGATATTTACATTACGATTCATAATAGTAGCAACATTACAGTTATGAAGTAGCAACAAAAATAATTTTATGGTTGGGTCACAACATGAGGAACTGTATTTAAAGGGCCAGAAGTTGAGAACCACTGCAATGCCTTCTGTGGTTATATTTTATTTTAATCTAAGTGTGATGAGAAACCACTGGTGTGACATCTATCTCTTTAAAAGAAATATTTTGACAAGAGAAAGGGCTATTTACTATCTCACATAAATAAAAATGTCAGAATCAGGCATAGCTGATCCAGATACTCAGACAATATCAGAATTCTGTCTTCCACCATCTCCAGCCTCTACTTTTTTTCTCTGTTGGCATCATTCTTAGATGGGTTTTCACCATGTAGCTGGCAAGATGCCCAGAAATATAAAGCTGTGACTATAAAGCTGGAAAATCTAGGAAGAGAGTACAACCCTCTCTTCTTTCCCAGTGAAAAGAACTCAGGTTGGCTTCGCTTGGGTCACAGGACCATTTGGACTAATTAGATTGTGGTGATGGTCATCCTAGAACATGGGGGCCCCATGATTGACCCCGGCAGAAGCCTAGGAAGTAGGGGAGGGTCAGTTTCCAAAAGGAAAGAATTCAAGTGAAGGGAAAAAATTAGCTAATGCCTACTGCGGACAAATAGAAATGGGCAGTGGCCTGGCACAGTATTTGCATAGTTGAATGAATGATATAGGGTCTTTGGGACTTAATCATCATTGACCTACGAGCACCTAAGCAAACTTAGGCTGATACGCGCGGTGGGTGTCAAAGTAAGAAGAGACCTGATGGAAATCCAAGTTCACCGGTATGACTAGCTCTGGTTAGTGTGAGCAGTGTAGTCGCCTGCCTCCCCTGGGGACTACTAGGACCAGGGCAGGCCCTTGGACTTTCCCAGTAACTCAGACACATCTTCTACCGAATCAAAGTTCACGCCGCCTCTTCTTTTCACTCCAGGGACTGCTTGTGGCCTTGCAGTACTGCTTTGTCAATGGAGAGGTATGTTTTCATGCTGCCATCCTAGCTTCCTGTGAGGCTGGGCTGGCATCCTTCTGCCCCCAGGGTTTCCTGTTTATGTGATGGTGCCATGGGGAGTGTGCAGTGACCATCAGGCAATGGGACACATTTGTACCGTGGGTTCCAGGGGTGAGAGCAGGGGCAGCTGAGAGAAATGGGAAAAGAGGATGGGATGAGTGTAAGGAAGCTCAGAGCCCAACCTTGGCCCTGCTGGAAGTGTTAGTGTGATAGAGGAAACAGGCTTGAACTTGGGAATCCAAAAATCTGGGCTCAAGCCACCACTCACCCACGTAGGAGCTTTGAGTTAGTTAGGTTTCTGTGGCTCTTTGAGCCTCAGTTTCCTCATCTGTAAAGTGGGAAGAATAACTGTCCCTACCCTCTAATGTTGTCCTGGGCATGCCAAGCTCATGGGAGAGGCCCAATACCTGATAACGGTGATGGTTTTTATTATCAATACTAGAAGCCTGATGCACGAAATTCGTGCAAGAGTAGGCCTTTGCAGCCCCGGCTGCCTCAGCCCTCCCAGCCCCGGCTTCGTCCAGAAGGTCGTCCGTGTCCTGACGGTCTTTCTGTTGTTCGGCCATTTGGCCGATTTGCATATTATGCTTTTATCATTATAGATCATTGTATATCCCCCACCAGCTCGCTGCTCCTCTGGAAAGTCTTGAAAGGGGCAGGGGCAGAGGCCAGACCAGTTTCTCCTGAGCAGTTCTCCAGTAGAATTGGGGTATTTCCAGTCCCCTTTCATCTTTCCAGGTTTAAATGTTCATTTCTGTCTCCTCGCCCTGGAACATAAGCTTCTTGATAGCAAACCCTCCTCCATCTTGCTCATGGCTGCCTCTTCTGTATCTTCTCCCATCAGGTGGACCTCAAATGCCACCTTGACACAGTCCTTTCCTTTCCATTTCTGTTCAACCTCATCCCAAATGTTTGTCTCCTCCCCCATGGTCCTGCTTAATGGACTCCTCCCCCATGGTCCTGCTTAATGGACTCACAGTGTCACTGCCATGTGTAGGCTCACGGGTATTTGTTCACTCCTCTCTGTTCATCTCCCCCAGTCTGATACGTTTCCCAAGGGTGGCACGGAGTTAGCCTCTCATTAATATTTGGTGAATGGACCCAAGACCAAATGACTCTGAGACAGTAACGTTGCCCTCTTCTTGCCGGGCAGGTGAAGGCCGAGCTGCGGAGGCACTGGGGCCGCTTCCTGCTGGCCCACCACTCGGGCTGCAGAGCCTGGGGCCTGGAGAAGAACTTCCGGTTCCTGGGGAAGTATCCCAAGAAGCTCTCAAAGGGAGACAGCGCCAGGGCGCTGCAGAAGTCACAGTCCTCGCCTGGCAGCGGGCAGCTCCTGCCGCTGACCATGCAGGGCCTCGGGGAGCCAGGCACCAGGTCCCACGGGGGCCACACAGCTTGGCGCTGGGGCCGCAGCCTGTCCGAGAGCAGCGAGGGGGACTTCACCCAGGCCCACACCATGGAGGAGATTCTGGAGGAGAGTGAGATGTAGGCGGGCTCCTGCGACAGGTGCTGTGGGGTGCCGTCATCACTTCCCGGGCACCAGGTCCACTTTGACATGAAGTCTATCTCGAGGTTCTTCATGCTCTGATGAGGTTGTGCAAACAGTCACTGCTTCTGCCTGCCATTGTCATCTACAACCTCCACTGGCGAATTTTCCAGAATGACCACCAGCCTCTGGCGTGGCCCTAAATTCAAGTGAATGGAGCCCCAAGATAAAGAGAGATGTCTGCTATGAAAGAGGGGGCAGCCAGTATCTCTTCCTTTATCCCTCAAAGCAGAAGGTTTCCCTCTGAGGCTGGGTTTGGGGTGTATAAGGACCACATGGGAAGTGTTTTACATGCAGAGTTGGGCTCCTGGATGATTCTAAGAAAGTACGTCTGGAGCGATGGCCAGAGTTGGGAGTCGTGTAACAAGCATCCCAGATAACTCTGATGCAAGCCCAGTGTGTAGAAGCAAGCAGCCCCCTGAGTGGTCAATGGTGGGAGAAAGCCAGTGGTGTCTTGGATTCAACAGCTCAGCTGTTACCCGCTCGCCCCCCTCAGACAGTGTGCAACCCCACGCCGCCCAGAACCCCATTCATTTCCTTGTCCAGTCTTCCCCCCAACCCCCGCCCCCCGCCCCCATCTCAGTTCTTCATCTGTGGTCCGCAGAAGTTCTGTTTGATTCTTATCAATGTCCTCCTTCCTATCAGGGTTGGCCCCAATCCCTCTGAAAGTCCCCATTGGTCCTTTCCTCTCTTTTTGGCTCCGCCCATCTTTGCCCTTCTGAGCTTGGCTTCTTCAAGCCTAGCTTGCCCTCCCATTCTCGGCCATTTTTGGGTTGTCACTGACACATTGGTGCTCAAGGCTTGCCCACTGCTCTCCCTGACCCTAGTCCTCGCTCATAAGAATCCCACTGCCCCTGTGGGAATGGTGGAGGGATGGGACTGTGCTGATCTGACATGCCAGGAGGACACAGTGGGATCCGGTCTGGCTTGGAGCAATGAGTTGTGCTCCGACCCTGAGAAGAGGGTGCTTCTGGAGGCTGAGGGGGGCCCAGGCAATTCGGGTCTGGCTCAGTGGCTGAAACTATAAGGCAAGAAGCTGAAAGAAAATCAAAGGAGGGGCGTCCCATGGAAATGGGGTGTTCATGTCTCTTTCATAGTGTGCAAAACGTATGTGTATGTGGGTGGGGTATGTTGCCATGGGACTAAATACTGCCTTGTGTTAGAGGGGGGCTCTATGTTACTTCTCAAGTAGGGTTGCCAAATTTAGCAAATAAAAATACATGATGCTCAATTAAATTTGAATTCCAGTTAAATAACCTTCCTGTATAAGTATATCCTGTGGCACATATTGTATTTAAAATTCCGTGCTAATTGTGCGTCCTGTGTTTTACCTGGCAACCCTATTTTCAAGGACACTTTGCAGTGGGACTGGGACTAGAGTCAAGTGCGGGTGTCAAATTTAAGAGAGTTCTAACAAGCCTCCACTGTCAAGATCAGGAATATTTTAATGCAATATTTTAAAAAGTGAAATCCGCAAACTACAGCCCACAGGCCATTATACAAATGTCTATTGAAACCAGGGCCCGGGTGAGCATGGTCGGATCATGGCTTTATTTAACATTTTAATATTGCTCACTGTAGACTTCTTAACATTCATTTTTATTTTTAAACTACTGCATTAAAATATTATTTATTTCGATTACTGAATTTTTGCCCCTTCCCCTTTAAATTTTGAATCTGAGGCCACTGCTCATCTTGCCCTCACCCTTGTCCTGGCTCTGCTTTGCAACAGGGGAAACTGAAGCAAAGGCATAGGCAAGTGCATAACCAAGGTTTTTTTTTCCAGTGTCCAGATTATCCATAATTCAATCACCAAATCATATGTCCTTCTAATTTTTCCTTTCTGCAAATCCCTGCCTTTTCTCATGAGCCTATTAGCTCCTAAAAAGCTGGGGCCATGTCGTATTCCCAGCTTGCACCTAGCACAGCTTGTTCCGGGTAGGTGCTGGGGACACATGCATCGAATGAGACAAGACAGAAATGTCTCAAAAGTGGTATATGCTGTCTGGGGTCAATTATCCAGGACCCTGTCATTAATAGGAGAAGTAAGTGGGGTTTTTCCATAGCATTTGTAAATATGTCTTTGACCCCTCACTCCACAAATGGGGTGGCACATACACACTACTTTCTAATAATTAAAATAACAGGTGCCCTAACCGGTTTGGCTCAGTGGATAGAGCATCAGCCTGTGGACTGAAAGGTCCCAGGTTCGATTCCGGTCAAGGGCATGTACCTTGGTTGAGGGCACATCCCCAGTAGGAGGTGTGTAGGAGGCAGCTGATTGATATTTCTCTCTCATCGATGTTTCTAACTCTCTATACCTCTCCCTTCCTCTCTGTAGAAAATCAATAAATATATTTAAAAATATAAAATAAAATAATAGGTTTATTTGGTTTGTATTTTGTTGATTCTTTCACATTTGTTTCTCACTGGAGCTGAAGGGCACTGCACGAGAGGCTGGGATCCTGTGAGAGCAGGTGGTAATGGGGGGAAGGGCAGGCAGGGCAGTTTGGGTTATTGTGATGAGACCCATTCTGCCCTGGAGGGCACATATACTGGAGGAAGCAGAAATTCAAAAGTGAGGTGACTTCCCACAGTATCCATAGTGGACATCTGTTTCTATAATTCATCCCTCTTGTACTAAAAGCACCCAAATTTTCCTCTTGGAAACCATACATCTCCCACTCCCGGTCCCTGAAGCTGAATTGTCCCAACTCCATCCTCAGCCCCAAGGATGGACATGAAAATATGCCTGTCTAATCCGAGCATGCCTTTCTCCTGGCACCAGATATTGGATCAGGGATGGGCACATAACCAATCAGACACAGTCCTGGGATTTTGACCAAGACTCACCATAGAAAGGGATTTTCTCTTTTTGGCTGAAATTAGAACCATGAAGCCCAGTGGATGGCCATCTAGCCAGCCTGGGGTAAAGCCTGCCTGAGAATGGGGCCACCACAGCAGAAAGCAGATGCAGGAGATGGAGAAGGAGCTCTGAAACATTGCCGGAGTCCCTGGACTGAGCAAGACCTACAGCTAGTGCTCCTCCTGGCATTCCAGTTACATGAGTCAGTAAATTCCTATTTGTGCCATAACAATGTCCGTTGGGTCTTCTGTCCTTTGCATCTGGGAGAATCTTGATGACATAGTTCATCACCACCTCTACCTCCTTCTCTTAAGTTGGACTTGTCACCGATTCTGGGTTTTCTGAGCATCTTCTCCATAGCAACCCTAGTAGCCCTGCCATCCAAGCTAACAGAAGATGTGCTAATTAGGTCACTACTCTTGGGTTCTCCACCAGCCAGTAGGAGATCCAGTGGCTCCTTTATGTCTCTCATTGAACCACAGGCCAACAAGGTCATTAGGCAGTGTCTATCAGAGACTCAGGGGACATGGATGCCCTGACCTCAGAGAGAAGTGAAAAGCCCGCAACCTCACATCCCAACCACCCAGATTCATTCATGAAGGGTGGTGTGTGGGGTGGGGAAGGAGCTTTGGAGTGAGGCATTGAGCCCTTTGGCTCTATCCCGAGACCACCCTGGGGTACACCCAAGGTCTTTCTTCTCCCCCTGCATTGGCTCCTAGGTGGCCTACTGTGTCTGATACCAGAGGGGTGTCTTGGCAGATGATTCTAATAATAACTGTCCTCCTCCAAGAACCGCTAGACCAGATGCTGTGCAGCCCCATCTGCCTTCCAGCTTCAACATTGTGGGATCACAGAATTCTCAGTAATATCATCTCCAGGTCAAAATGATTGAGGCAGCCTAGTGCAATAGAAGGGATGCTGGTTTAAGTGCCAAATCCTACTCTCAATTTGTGGCTTCAGTGACCCCATCGATACCCTGGGGATAACATCTTGAGCATCTAGCAGGGGTGTCTGCCTCCAAACCGAAGTGTTAGGGTTACTCTCAAATTCACCCTCCACAAAAAGCAGCACTCTCTGCGTTGGTGGCGGTGCCATCGCTGGGCTAAAGCTGGGGGTGGGGTGGGGCAGGAATCACCTCTAGCACCAGCAAGCGGGGACCCCCCTGCTTCAGGGGATTGCACACTGGTCAGTCAAGTGTCCGGGACATCTGTCTATTTTCTGGCCTCATCTCAGAACTTAAAGCTGCAGAATACATTGGCCTTCAAAACAATGACTCTGACGATCCTGAGAACCCCCTGGTGGAGTGCTTTCTGGGGTGTCCCAGTCCTTGGAGCTCCGAGGAGACAATGTGGGCCGCTGGCAGCCTTGGCCTGGCCTCTGCTCATTAGCTGGCCGACCCTGGGCAAGCTGCCTGCTATCTGGGCTCCTCTCCCTTTCTCTACAGTGAGGCACCTCCACCATATCAACACAGAACTTGTCATTATCCCCTGAGGCCAGTGACTCTATCCACTTCCCATCACAGCAGGTGGCATCACTACTCACCCAGCACCCAAGCCACACACCTGACTGCCATCCTTGCTCCTCCCTCCACCACCTGCAGCCCGTCAGGTGGATTCCACCTCCCAAACACCTCCAGAGCCACCCCATTCTCTCCATCCCACTGCTGTTCCCCAGCCCAGGTCACCTAGGCAACTCCAAGGTGTCATCTCCAGCCCGCTGCCCCCAGCCTTGCCCCGCTGATTCAGTCCCACTCTGCCAGAGGGAGCCCTTCCAAACAGAGAACCCTCCCATCCCAACCCCCACCGTGGTACCCACCCTCCCCACAGTGAAGCTCACTGCCTCCGTGGGCTGCAGGGAAGGCCTGCTATGGTCTGGCCCCGCCTCCCTTTCAGCCTCAACTCCCCATTGGCTGTCCCTCCGCCCTCTGCTCTCAGCTACCCTGGCCTCCACAGGAAATGCTCATTCATGAGTTAGAGTCTCTGCTGAGACACAGTGCTTCCCACCCCACCCTTTCCCCCACCAAGAACACCTTCTCTGATCCCCGGGAGAAGGAAGCCCCTCCTGTTATAGCTCGCAGTGTTTTGCACGTCTCCATGGTAACCTTCCACTGGTCATGGCTGCTTCCAGGTCTGCAGTCCCCTCTGCACCCTGAGCCCTGAGAGACAGGGCCGTGTCCACCTTCTTCACAACGGAGTCCCAGCGCCCTGGTAACCACTGCAATGGCAACACATTCTTGCCTTGGTGGCCGAGGCCACATAAATCATTTCCATTTCCAGTTCAAGAACAACCAGCGGCTGTGTGTCCGGCAACTCTTGCATTTATTGGAACCTGCTTACCCAGCAATCCACAAAGGAGCTTACACAGGGGTGATATTTAGGACTCTTGTGACCTAATCCTGGGATTATCATGGGAGGCCTGGGCTGGTGGGCAGGGGAGGGGAGGCGGCGTCATGGGAGGGGCTCTAAAGACAGGGAAGGAGGAACCAGCAGATGCTAAAGACACTTCCGTTTGGCAGGGAGCTGTGCTGTGGGTTTGGAGGCCTCTCTCTTGGCCGCTGGGGTGTGTGTGTGTGCGCGCACGCGTGTGCATTCATGTGCGTGTGCATTCGTGTGCTTATGTGAGTGGTAAGGGGAGGCAGGAGAGCTGAGCAGTTGGCATCAGGGGTTCTTTTCCTTTTCCTTTAACCTTTCCTTCACTTTTTGAGGCTCAAATTGGATCAGTCGCAGAATTTCCTTATTGGCCAGGGTCCCCTCGATGAACTCTTCCTCTGTAAGTTTATCTGCGGATGGGAGAACAATACCACAGTCAGGACTGGCTGTTTCAAGCTGCCACAAAGCTGACACCTGCCAGCATGCCCTGTGCAGATGTATCCATCATGAAAACCTTGCGTCTTAGCGCCTCCAGGGTACTCCCACCCCTGCCCCAGATACCCAACCTGGACCTCCCCATCAACCAGCAAGGAGAGGGTTAATGGCTGGCACTACTGAGGGGTCCAGGGTGCACTTTAGTTATGCTTCTCTTCTGATTGGCAATGCCCTGCCTTGCTGGTTATTAAGTATCTTGAGTCTTACTCTAGGTCTGAGCCTCACGTTCTGGAAGAACTTTTGGGGCCTGGAGCAGAGCAAACAGTTTCAGTTGAGAAGGAGGGAACAGCATCCACTCTAGAGAAGGGAGTGAAAGTTGAGGGGCCCGGGGGGGGGTGGTGTGTGCCAGGGAGAGCCTGGCTTGTGAAGAGGTCTCTCTGACCCGCCACCCCAGCACATGGGCAGCCCCTGATTCTCAGCTGACAGCTCCTCCACGACTCTTCCCTCTGCATCTCTGCATCTCCCATCCATCTCCCTGTGAGACCAGAAGAGCGCCTCGCCCAGCCTCCGGGTTCAGTTCTGTCCGGTTCAATGCTCTCCACTAGCGGTTCCTCTGAGCCAGAGCCACCGTGCTTGGGGCTGAGGTCACTTCAGAGGGTGGGGGGCAGGGTGTGGATAGAGGGAGTGAGGTAAAGTCCCCGGTCCCTTGGTCTGCTGGGAAGACAGTCACGTGTAGAAATAACTCTAAAAGGAAACGGTGCTCTTTCAGATCATGCATATGCTCAGAGTTGCCTGCACGTAGTTGGCTGAACCTAATTACATGCCCATTAGCTTATGTTCCAGGCCTTTTGAACACCCATAATCTTAATCCTGGATTAGGACCCAGGCTGGTTCCCTGCAAGTCTAGGTGGGGAAATGTAAAGTCCTAGCTGCCCTGTCAGCCTCACAAAGAGCTTGGAACCCCCACCATCAAAGCCGAGTTCTGGAGCCATATGGGCACGGGGAAGGACACACACACCGCCTGGCAGGAGGAATACGGCAGCCCCCCACACCCACCGCCACCTCCTGTGACGTCCACTTGGGTCAGCTTCTCCAGGACCCAAGTTAACTTCCTTAGGGAAACCGTAGAACTGAGATCCTGCTTATTTGGGACCCCAGGCTAATTCCGACGCAGACTCAGCTAAAGTTTGCTCTAACTCTTAGAAAGCGTTTAGGAAAACAAGCGAAGCAAACCCCAGTGTCTGACAGGCACCCCTCTCAAACAGAAAGTGCTTGGAATTCCTCTAAACTTGGCGTCTGCGTACAAACGTCTAAGGTGCTGTTGCCTTTACTTCTTCCTATTGCTTCAATGTGGCTGTTTTAACCAAAGCTGTTTTCTTCAGAAGCCCCCCCACCCCTCGGAGCCTTCCTTCTCCCCATCAGGCAGCCAGGGGCCGTATAAGCCAGGGACGGGGCGCCATTCCCAACACAGTGGCAGCTCCACAGGGAGCAGGGCTGCACCTGTGGCCTCTGTCCACTCCCCAAGGCCCCAGCCAGCCCTGCAGTGCATGGCGGGGCGAGGTGTCCCCATCCCCCGGGCACTGGCGCTGGGAAGGCTACATGTTGGTGGGATCAGCAGGAAACAGCCGGACTGTAAAGCAAAGGCCATGCGGGAGAAGGCATTCACCGTCATCTTTCTTTCCAAAGAAGCCCCAGATCTTGTCGGCTCGCTTCTCAGGGGTGTTCTCGTCATCTGGCAGGTGCTTGGCGTCCTCGGGATTGATCATCTTGAATATCGCCTGCACGGAAGCAAAAGGAACTGGTCAGAAGGAGCAGCCAAGGCTGCAGCCTTGGGTTAGAGCACAGGTCCCAGGCCCGGCCGGCCTGTCAATCAGAGCTCCTGGGTGGGCACCTGTGTTTCTGAGACCTTCAGCTGGATGGGGAGCCTGGGGGAGGGGTGAGGAAGGCTTTCGCTTCTTATTTGTCCCTTTCTGTACTGTTTGCATTTCCTGACCATGCAGACATATGGCTTTCATTTTATTTAAAAAAAAAAAAAAGGAAAAAGCTTCCTGGTGTCATCCCATGGCAGCCCGAGGCTGCAGTTTGGGAACCACTCCCTTGAACCTACTGCCTAGAAGTTTTAGAAAATCTAACAGCTTCTCCCAGGTCCATGTGGTACCTGGTTGCCCAGCCGGGTGGCCTAACATGGGCTAACATTTGCTGAGCGCCTAACATGTGCCACTTTCCTGAGCATTTTACATGCAACCTTCCCAGCCTTGTGAGGTGTGCACTTATGGACCCCATTTACAGATGAAGAAACCGAGCCAATTAACTTGCTGAGTGTCATGCAGCTGGAAGCAGATGAGTAGAGCTTCTAGCCCAGGCGCTTTGGGTTTAGTTTGCATTGTGCCACTTGCCAGCTGATGCCTTGGAGAGCATTCCAATGTCTGGGGAGGGAGAGGGGAGGCCTCAACAGGCTTCCCAAAGGCCACCCCAGGGTTCAGGAAGCCCCTTATTACCCTTTAGCGCAGGAAGGGACCCAGAGGAAGGTTGAGCTTTAGACTCTAGGAGCCTTCACACCTCCCTCCACACTCACTAACAAAGGAGCCGGATGTGCGCATGTGTGATGGGGGCAAAGCAGGAAGTGCCTCTGCTCCTGTGGTCAGGGAGAGGGACAGGTGGTCTCGAGGGGCCCATCCAGCCCTAGGTCACTAGGATTCCATCAGCTCAGTAACTCCAGGGCTGGCCAGGCCCAGACAGGACACTCGAGGTCATGGCCCCGAGCCTGTGCCAGCCTGTGCCCTCAGCCTGGGGGCAGGCTCGGGTGCAGGCAACATGTTGGGTGGCAGTAGCAAGGGCACCTTGGAGACCCGGAAGCACAGCCAGGCAGGGGCATTAATGCCTATAAATTAGCCTGAAGGGGAGGTGAACACGCTGAGAAGTGCCCTTATAGCACCACCCCCCCCACCATACAGCAAGGAGCAAGGAACCAAGCCAGCAGCAGGGGAAGCAGCCTCAGCTGGCCAGGCGCCCAGCAGCCAGAGTGGAGGTAATTCTGTTGACTCCTCTCTCTATCCTGAGCCATGGGAACCACGTGCAGGCTTGGTGGCTAAACGCTGGGAGTAACTGGCTGCCTGCCCCATCCTGCTTCCAAATCCAAGGACAGACTATCTACAGTCAAGGCCTCAGTGAAAGAACCATCAGATGCTCACCCTGGGCCCTGGGAGGTTATATGGTTTTCCAAGGCCATGAAGCTAGTTGGTGGCATAGCTGGGACAAGAATCTGTAATTTCTGGCTTCAAGGCTAGTGACCCAGTGATCTGGTGAGTGCCAGAGCCTTGCACAGCCTCAGCCATGGATTCCCCTCCCCACCCTTTCTCCCTTTCCTCCCTTCCTCCCGCCCTCCCCCATTCCTCCTCCTTTTTCTCAAGAAGCACCAACTTATAGGCCTCTGCTGGGCCTGGCGTCCTTTAGGTGGTTCTGAGGATGTGGTCTCCATCCCATGCCACCTGCCAATTCAGAGAAGTTTGATCCGAAGGCCCTGCCCAGTGAGGTTCCCACACATGCCTGCCCTTGACCGGAGGCCTGAGCAGAGTCTGCATGCTCAGCTATTGAACTCATGGTGTCACCTAATGAGGGAGGAAGAGCCGTGCGAATGAAAGCAGGGTTACAAATGCATCAAAAGTATATAAACCATGAAAACAGTCTCCCTCTTAACGGGAATGTCATTAGAAAAACACAGCAAGTGGCATGAGGTAGAGGGATAAAAAAGATCAGGTAAAAAGATACTAAATGAAGGTAAATATAAATAATATAATAGGGAAAATAGAAACATCCTAACTGTCCCAAATTTAGGAATGGTTAAATAATTTTATGACATTTCCATAGATGAAATTCTAAGCAGCTATTAAATATGGCGTGGAAGAATGTATACTGATATGAAAAACATTCATCATAAAATAGTAACTGAAAAAAGTATAAAAATCCTATATGAATATTTCATAGCTCTAAACTTAGTTTAAAATATAAAGCTAAAAGACTGGGAATGTATATACTGATACGTTGGCCGTTTTCTCTGGATGATGAAATTAAAGGTAATTTTAACTTTTCTTTTGCATATGTTTCTAAATTTCACGAATTACTTTTACATTAAATAAGACTATTTTCAAGACGCCTAAAATCTTCACAAGCGATGTGCTCCCAGGCTGGTTGGGACAGGGGTGGAGAATGGGTGTGACAGGCACTGGCCTCCCAGGGGCCTGAGCATCCCCAGGTTGGTCCAGAGCACGGGGATGAGAGAACCGAGGCTCCGGTGAAGGGCCATGAAGACAAGCAGAACTGGAACCCAGGTCTCGCTCCCTCCCCACCTCCTCCTATTGTGCATCTGAAACATGTCAGGGAATCTGACCATGCACAGCTGAAGGTGTTGAAGGATATTTTAATGAACAGAGGAAAGAAGGAAGGAGGGAGGAAGGAAGGAAGAAGGAAGGAAAGAAGGAAGGATGGAAGGAAAAAAAAAAAAAAGGAAATCATAGGAAATACCCAGATTCTTTTTTAGGAGGAAAACGAAGCTATGGGGAAACGCCCAGCTTTCTGTTAATCTCAGTATATGAGAGACCCCTCACCACGCTCTCAGCGCCATTGGGTCACAAAGCCTGGGCCCCCACGCCCCCTCCAGCCGCTCTCCCAGCTGTGCCCTGACCTGGGTGACCCCAGCCCTGCAAGGGGTGGGGGGGTGGAGACTGACCATGACGATCTCCAGCACTTCGCTCTTGCTGATGGCCCCGTTGCCGTCCACGTCGTAGAGCGAGAAGGCCCACTCGAGCTTCTGGCTGGGCCGGCCGGCCGTGGTCATGTGCAGGGCGACCACGTACTCCTTGAAGTCCAGGGTGCCGTCGCTGTTGGCGTCGAAGCTGCGGAACACGTGCTCGGCGTAGGCCTTGGGGTCGGCGTCGGGGAAGAACTTGGCGTAGATGCCCTGGAACTGCTGCCGCGTGATGCGGCCGCCCGGGCACTCCTTGAGGAAGGACTGGTACCAGGCGCACAGCTCCTCTTGCGTGAACTTGGTGCTCAGCTGCAGCTCCTCCAGGATCTCCTGGGACAGGGCCCCGCTCCTGCTGTTCCCCATGGGCGGCGGCTGGGCCCGCGCTGCTGCGTGGGTGGGTGGGTGGGAGCGGCGAGGTCTCAGGCTGCCGCTGGACACAGACCCACGGAGAGGCCGGCGGATTAGGAGGATTTGCCGCAGGTTCACCCCAGTACTTGGAGGGAGGAGGGGCCCAGACCTGGGAGGGGAGGCAGGCGAGCTCCCAGAACCCCCCTGAGATTAAAGTAAAGAGCTGACCGCAGGTGCTCAGTCCATTCTGGCCTCTGGGAGGACAGGGCGGGAGGTCAGACCCTTCAGGGCCCAAGCCTTGGGCCAAGGTCTTCCCTGCTGCCCCTGGCTCATCGCTCCCCACCCCCAACTCCAGCTCTCTTAGCGCCAGGATTTCCCAGCCTGTGCCCCGCCCTAACTCCCCAAACTCAGAGGGTCTCCTCTTCCACTGAGCCCTCAGGTGCAGCGGCCAAGCTCAGCAGACCGCCTGGGCTCAAATCCCAACTTGGCAATTTATCAGCTGTGTGATCTGAGGCAACGTTTTGGAACCTTTCTCTGCCTGAACGGCCTTCTTCTAGCCCTTCCCCTCCTATCTGACTTCCTGAACTCTCCCCTCAGCAAGGCCTATACTGCCCACTCTATTTGCAATTGCACAGCCCACCCCCACCCCTCAGCACCCCCAGACTGTTCATCGTGCTTTATTTTGCTCCCTCCCCCGCACACCTTCTGGCTTCCTCTTTACTTATCCCATGTGCTGTCTGTCTGTCCCCTCCCAGGAATGAAAGCTCCGTGGATGGAGGATCTGTCTGTCTGTTTCCCAGCTGCATCTTCATGGCCAGATCGGTGCGTGCCTGGCAGGTGGAGGCCTTCGGCGAGTATTCCTTCAGTGAACAGGCATGATCATAGATAACAGTGTCTACGTCATTGTTTTTGTGAGGCTGAAATGGGTGGATATGTGCAACATACTTAGAACAGGCCCGGCACATGCTAAGTGCTAAATACATGTCAGTTTTTGTTATTATTCACCGACAACAGGGATCCAAAACTCAACTGCCTACAGGAGCCAGCAAGGGGAGGGAGGGAGTGAAACAACTGGATCAGGGAGACAGTAGGGAGTGGTGAGGCCTGTGTCACACATGCAAGGGGTTGCCAGTGTTCAGCTCCATTTGAATGTGGTCATATGGGATTATGGCCCAGTGATTATCCAAGAGAAACCCAGAAATCAGATTTTTAGATGCACTTTCCAAACTTTTAAACGTTGAGAGTCAATTCAAACATTTTAAAAGCATGGTGTCAGCTCGCAGGTTGCCAGTTTGCCCCCAGCCTGATGCCTGGGCTAGCAGACTCCACGTGCTTGGGGGGTGAGTGGATGGATGCATGGGAGGTAGGGAGCTCTGCAAGAGAAGCCTTCACATCCTCATGGTTGGCTCAGCCACGAGCACTGGACACAGGAGGAGCCTGAGCGAGTGTGTTTTGTACCTGACTTCTCATCACCCAAAGGAGAGGTCGACAGTGCCCTGGCTTGGCTGAGCATAATGCTGGAGGGGAGTGCGCCTGGAACCCCAAAATTGCCAAATTGGATGGAAGAGATGTCTCCTCTTTGCTCAGGGCTCATAACAACAAAGAATAAACCCCACAATCTCCAGGCGGTGAGTTAGGGTTTGCACCCTATCACAACAGGCTAATGGCCGGAGTCAGCAGCCCTGCTGCTGGGAAAGCCACCTGCCAGGCCCACCTGCATGCTGCTTAGGAAGGACTGAGAAGTTCAGGCACCAGCAGTGCTGACCATCCCTCTGCCCATGCACCCCCTGTGTTTCCAGAGTGTTTCTCAGGAGGCCTTCATGTTAGGTGTGTGTGTGGTTGCGTGTGTGTGTACTCACTCTTTCCCCCCATTAGTGTGTGAGAGCACATTATTTCTTATTAGAGGCCTGGTGCATGAAATTCATGCATGGGGGGAGGGGGTGTCTCTCAGCCCGGCCTGCACCCTCTCCAATCCGTGACCCTTGGGGGATGTCTGACTGCCGGTTTAGGCCCGGTCCCGCAGGGACCGCTGGCTCCTAACCACTCACCTGCCTGCCTGCCTGCCTGCCTGATCACCCCTAACTGCTCTCCCCCGCCAGCCTGATCACCCCTAACTGCTCCCCTGCTGGCCCCTAACCGCCTCTGCCTCAGCCCCTGCCACCGCGGCTTTATTCAAAAGGATGACCGGAAGATGTCCGGTTGACCAGGTCTAATTAGCATATTATGCTTTTATTAGTATAGATTAGGAGCCCTTTCTCTTGTTCTAGATTTCACTATCCTGTATCAAGGCATTTGTTCTCAAGAGCAGTTAGAAATAGGACAGTCACTGGACTGAAAAACAAACAAAACAAACCCAGGCCATGAAATGAGGCTGAGGCTTCACCCCTGACCTTGGAACCAGGTGTGAGAGGGGATGAGAAGTGCCTCCTGGTCCCAGGCTGTACACACCAAGCCTACAGGTGAGGCCAGGCCGGTGTTACAGGGAGAAACGGAGCTCCCAGGCACACTCTGCCTGCCTGGGTCACAGGGCAGCTAAATGGCAACGCGGGAGGAAAGCCCAGGTTCGCAGGATCCCATCCAGGGCTCTTCTTGAGACATTACCACGGCCCGAGCCGAGGGGGCAAGAAGCTCCATTTCTATAGGTGAGGAGCTGGGGTTGCCATGACAACAGAAGATGTGGACAAGGAAAACAGGGCCCTGGGTTAACACAGAGGTAGCTGGAGCCACACCCTCTCTAGCCCCCGACCTCTCCGCCCTTTCCAAGGGCAAGGAGGAAGGAGCTGGAACCGGTCGGAGGCAGCCTGGCACTGTCCACATTCTTCAGGTTGCTGTGCCCGGAGGGGAGGGACCGCTGGAGGGGACCACAGGCAGCTGTGTTGATGCTGCTGAGAGAGGGGTCATGACCTGGAGGTTTGTTTGAAAACCTGCATAAACATCTTCTATCAGAGGGAGAGTTTATGCTCCTTAGTCAAACAAGTTGTTGGAGATGATGTATTGTGAATGGATTTGTTAAGTCTGAGCTGGGACCATAAACTCTCCCCGAACCCCAAAGACCACTGGGGAGAAGGCTCGTCTCCAGTCAGTCTCCGTGTGTGTCTCCCCTGAGCCTGACCTTGACTGCAAGAAGCAGGCTCTTCCCAGAGGCTGGCCCTGCTCACACCCCAAACCAGGAGCTGTCTTAGCCCCCAGCCCCCACCCCCATTCCTCCCCCTTCCCCTGCTCTGAGCTCAAAGACAAGATGACCTTCCCCCCGGCTTGTTTCATGCACGGTGTTCCCAGGACCTGGAACAGTGTAGTAGGTGCTGAATAATTATGGCACGAAGTGAGGAAGGGATGGATGGATGAGATGAGAAACTATAGCCAGGAGCCCCTTGTGTCTGTAGGGACAAGTCACCAGGAGAGCGGACGAGGCTGAGGCCAGGTGTGTGGGTAGGGCAGCATGCACCTTTGTGGCGGGCCAATGCCCAGGTGCCTCTTGGCCCTCTGCTAAGCCATCAGGAGAAAACTTATCACCGATCCCGGGAGCCTGGAGGAATGCAAAGACCGTTTGTACAAAGGAGAGCGTGGCCGCGCTCCAGGAGGGAGGGTCACCATTGGGACCAGTGTCGCTGGACAGTTTATTTCCCATGGGGGACTCTAAGCGTCTCAAGTGTCCACACAGAGCCGGGGGGAAAAATGGGAGCGCATTTAACTTCCTGAAAACCCTTTATGATAACGCAGAACAATTATAGATAGCAAATGCCTTCAAAATTTAAACCCTTTAAACATTTAATTCTTCAGCATTAATACACACAAATGCTATTACAGGGGGCGGGAAGGGCGCCCCCATAGGGATCGGAGTTTCAACAGTGTTACTTATAAATTATATTACATCGATTTTATTTACCGATCTAGGCAGCCAGAGGGGAAGGATATACAATTCGAAGTAAACACATTCATACCGGGATGAGGAATGCTGGCGGGAGACACAGCTTTGCAACATTAAAAATGTATAAAGTATTTAGCAAAAGTTACAGAAAACAGACCAAACAAGCAAGTTTATTTTGTTAGAAAATTCCACCTTCGTAGGGTTTGTGATGTGCTCGTGTCTGTGAAAGGACGGCCGTGCCCCTCCGCCCCCTCGCCTCCTTCCTGTGGGCAGGGCCCAGATGCAGACTCGGGGGCCCATCACCAAGGGGAGCTGGGGTCCCTTTGAATGTCTGTCCCCGGGTCCACATGGCCGCCCAGAGGCCACGGCTCCCGAGAGCCAGGCTGCTGTATATGACGCTGGAAGGGAGCGTCTCCGTTGACAGATGGGTCCACAGAGGTCCCGGGCCGGGAAGTGACTTCAGGTCACGGGACAAATGAGACAGCAGAGCGGCCAGTCCAGTGCTCTTGCCCCTGGAACCTCTGTAGAGCACCCATGTGCCCAGTAGAGCACCCATGTGCCGGACCCTTTGCATTCACCCTTGCAATCCCATCGGGAATCTCCCTGAAACACAAAGGGTCAGTGTCCCCTGAACAGCGCCCAGAGAGGTCAGAGGTGGTCACAGCCCGTCTCCCTCAGAGGCACCTCCCAGCAGAGGCGCCCGAGAGCCCGGCCCAGTGTCTAGATGGTGAGGGTTAGTCTCACCCCAACCTGCAGCCGCAGGAGTTGGGTCCCTCCCTTCGAGACAGGCCGGACAGAAATAAGACTCCTAGGGGTGGGGTTGGGGTTGGGGATGGGGGTGAAAAGTCCTCCCTGGCAAAATGCAGCCCAGGGCCTCCCAGGGGCGCAGACCTCGGCTCTAGCACGGGAGCCTGTGGCCTCTCGCTGGCCCGGCCTGGGCTCAGGTGTGTTCAGTTTGCTTGGAGAGGGGCCTGGCTGCCTCCCAGGGCGCACCTGTCACTGAGCCGGCCAAGATCAAGACACGTCACCTTGGGGTTCCTACGGAGGAATGCCCTCACTCAATAGCTCACAAAACTTTTGTCGCTTCATTTGTATCTAAATGGAGAAATGCAGGGTGCCCCTCTCGTGAGGAGTTTAGGGAACACCACGCACTACTGCGCTGATGGGACCCAGATTAGCTGTGGCCATGTGCACAGGGTACAGAATTGGGAAGGACTGGTGGGAAGACAGGATGCAGTGACTGCAGAAGGCCTGAGACCTTCTAGAATAATACCCTCGGTTTGCAGATGAAGCAGATCCAGGAAAGGGTGGTGAGGAGCCCAAGGCCAGGTCCTGCCTTCTCATCCATGCTACGCCCATTCGCTCCCCCCTCCCCCTTCCCCCCCCAATGCTCAATGCCAAGGACTGCGCAAGCTGAGCAGACTTGAGGGTCCCCAGGAGAGAGGGGACCTGCTAGTTGAGATGCAAGCTTCAGGGCACAGCAGAAGTGAGAGGCAGCCCAGACCCTGCCCGCAACCTTCTGCATTGTCTAATCCTGACATGAACCAAAAAGGCCAGTGTGAGCCCCCAGAACTACCTGTGGGCACAGCTGGCATTTGGAGAAGGAGCCTCGGGCTGGAAGTAGCCACGCAAACAGGCTGAGTCAACACCACCAACGGACTCAATCACCCAAAGGCTACACAGGGTGACTCCATTTATACAACCTTCTAGAAAAGACAAACTATAAGGTCAGCAAACTAATCCGTGGCTGCCAAGGGCTTGGGGTGGGAGGAGTGGATGGACGCCGGGGCTCTGGGGGAGTTTGCGGAGTGACGGAAATATTGTGTTGATTTTAGAGGTGGTTACAAGGCTGGATGAGTTTGTCAAAATTCACAGAACCAATATACTTCAAAAGGGTGAATTTTACTGTATGTCAATAAACCCCCGTACTGTATATCAAATACCTCAATAAACCTGGAAAAAGAGAAGGCAGTGTGTCCCGTGGGGTGGGAAGGACCAGGGGAGTACGTTGGGGTGCTGGCCAAGTAAGCACGCCGCCATCTGCACTCCACGTAGCATTTGCAAAGTGCGCCCCCTGCCGGCACAGTAACCAGCAGGTCTGCGGGATCCTGTGCAGACGCTCTGCTCCGTGTCAAGGCCTCTCACAGCTGGAAGCAGAATCACTGAACCAAGCAGAGGTCTTTGACTCCTTTGAATTTTATGGCTTGTGTTTCTCAGAAAGGACTTGGGGAAACAAGAGCTTTCTGCACCCATCCACTAACCTAGTCATTGATCGGGTTTCACACAGGGAATGGAAACAAATCCCTGGCTCATGAAATCGGTGGCTTCTGTGGCCTTCAGCGCTGAGCAGAGACGTGCCTCCTGCTGCGGAATCCTCCCGCCCCCAGGGCGCTGGGTAGAGGTAGAGAGGAGGCCCAGGCGCCCCTCGGTAGAACCTCCCTCAGGACAGCCACTCCTGTGTGTGGTTCAGTTGCCAGGGCTTTGCAATACTGATCAAAAACAATAGAAAAAAACGGAGAGGAACCAGTGGCTTTTCCTGGAGGTTGTCATGGCAAGATCGTTTGTGATAGAGAATTTTTTTAAAAAAATCAGTTTTCACAGACAAAACTAAGTGAAGGCAGGTAGAAGGGGCTCACTTGTTTTCAGAAATGAACAATAGAGGCGCTCAAGAAAAACCCAGACTCACTCACTCACCCTTCCGAATAAACCCCGTCAAATCCTCTTACAACCTAAACACCAGAACATAAACGCAAAACAATGACCAGATAGAGTGTGTGCTACCCTGAAGTGCAGTTTTAGATGCTCTAGACTCCACTCTGATCCTGCCTTCACCCAGACTGCGGAGGTGGGGGGTGGGGGTGGGGAGTTGTTGACAAGGACAGGGGGCCTGGACTGTCTGTCGACTCCAGTCCTGCTCTTAATTCAGTATTAATTTCACTGGCCATGCTTAGGCTTCATCCTCTTTGTAAAGTGAGGAGTTATTTAAGACAAAAAAGAAATCTCAGACCTAACCAATTGCTAAGTGGTTAGCACATCAGCCTGTGGACTGAAGTGTCCTGAGTTCGATTCCAGTCAAGGGCATGTACCTTGGTTGCAGGTTCCATCCCTGGCCCTGGTTGGGGCACGTGCGGGAGGCAATCAATCAATGTGTCTCTTTCAATATTTTTCTCTCTCTGTCTCTCCCCGTCCCTTCCTCTTTCTCTAAAAATCAATGAAAAAAAATATCCTCAGGTGAAGATTAATTAACAAAACAGAAAAAAGAAATCTCAGATATTCGAGTTGGATATGGGCTGGGAGTCTAGTGACTAGGGCACTGAGCCTTGTTGCTGTCTATCTCCCACCAAGTGGGTAAATGCCGTATGACGGTAGTTTGTACTATAATTACAGGTTCCCAGGAGTAAAATGTGGCAGGTTAAATGTTCTCATTCTCCAGAAAGGTCAAACTATCTGTCTACATGGGGAATAGAGGGGCGGGCAAGAGTGCCTGGCTTGTCCCAAGGATCTGCTGAATAAATGAATGAATAAATGAATGCAGATCAGCACAACAGACAGTATCCCTGAAAACCCAAGGTCTATAGCGTACCTGTATGTGAACGCCAAGGCCACTAACTTGCAAGAACCCTGGAGAAAAGATGTCTATACACAATCACAGAAAATAAGCCCATACCGTGCCCTCAGATCTTAGCACATCACTTGTCTTCAGCTAAATGCTTGATGAATGAATAAAAGAGGGAAGAAAAACAGAGAAAAAGTAGGTGAAAAAGCTACCGAGACTGAGGTGAGGGGATGAGGAAGAAAGAATCACTTCATCAGACAGACTGGCCCACACGGGGCCAGCTCAGGCTACCCCAGAAGAGGCAGGAGAGAGCTCGCTCTGTCCCGGGGAGGAGCAGAAGACTAGAATCCTCAGAGAGAAGCGAGAAGGCAAACTCACTGAGCATATCCACTCAAAAGATGTGTTCATAACACGGCCATTGGCTTTGAATAGCTGAGTATCATCCACAAATTACTCTGCTCAGCCACAAAGCAGTTCCTACTTGCACCTGTTTTTAATAAAGAAACCGGGAGCGGATACCCTGAAACCGTTGGCTGGTGTCATGGCCCCATCACAGAGCCGGGAGTGGTGCTCCATGCAGTGGACAGATTCAGGTTGGACAAGGCCTTCACACTGAGCTTTCTGGTTGGGATGTTTCCATAAGAGAAGGGACAAAGTTTGGTTGGCTTTAGTATATTCAGCGTCTTTCTACCATAAACTGTGAGAGAGCGGTCTGACTCAATGAAAGAGGTACCGAAAGATTCAAAGATGTTAATACATCATCAGATCTGTAAGACTGAAAGACCAGTGAGTTGTGCTCCTAGAATTCCACGCTCTTGGGAATATATGGATCCTGTAAATCCAAAGTAATCGATGGGGAAGATTAAGTAAGAAAGATGGGTTGGTTCTCAGGGCGCGGATTGCCCCTGGCTAGCTGCACTTCCTCCTTCAGGTCCCTCTCCTTCCTCTGGTCCTTTCGAACTGATTCTCAGGACTTAACATGACGGAGAACATGTTTGCTGGGGTCAGGAAGAGGAGCACATGATGGGCAAGGACCCGACTGCAGCCCTGAAAGCTTCCTACGTCACACGCAGACCAGGTTTTACGAGCCATTGGGAGATGAAGAAAGGGAAGGTGGCACCACCCCCAGGCAGGGCCTGATGCTGGGCTCTGGACTGTGCAGGAGTTGCCGAGAGGCCACGGTGGCGAGACGCTGCCCAGTAGGCGACAACCTACTGTGGCCATGTTAGTCTTCGATGCCTGTACAGTGACCACCACTGACAGGAAGCCATACGAGGGACAGTGGTCCCAGTGCTGCCATATGCAAGCAAGGGGAGCCATCGGGGGGAGGGGGGGTGGTGACAAAGACTTGCCCCAGACTGTCTCCCACGTGGGACTGACCCAGCCCCGTTTAGAGTGTGGAGCGGGGTGGGGATGGGAGGAGGGGCATCTGCAGGTCGGGGGCTGGGGATTCTGGGAGAGACTTTGCAGAGGATGCCTGATCGACTGGGGAACCCGACCAGCACTATGACTGAGGGCTGATTTGCTGATGAGGTAGTTCCATCCTGACCTCTCCAGGCAGGTCAGTCCGGGAAGGCGGCAGTGAGGCCTTCTTCCCAAGACTCTTGATCATGAACGGAGACAGGGAAGAGCCAGGATGTGGACTCCCAGAATGCAACGGGGAAAAAATAAGGAAGGAAGGCTGCAAAGGATTCTGAGTGCGGGCTGTTGAACGCTGCCTTCCGTCCACGACGGCGATCCTGACACTTGGCTTGGAGACAGAGACCTCCCTGGGGACCAGAGGGCCGGCTGGAGGAAGGACCTCGGGGCTTCCAGGGGCACGGGCATGGGACGCAGCTGGCTCTGGGCGGGGAGATGACCCTACGGTGCTCAGCAGGGACCACAAAGTTCCAGCTTCAGTTTGTTCCCGGAACGGCAAGCACAACATGGGAGTTGGGGGTCTTCGGCCTCAGAGACAAGGGCGGGGCTGTGGATCCACCTTCTTGGCCTGGGAACACGGGGACCTCCCAGCGAGGCCGCCAGGCCGCCCTTCTGGAATGGCTGGCTGCAGCCCTCACCCTCCCCTCTCCTCAGTGGGCAGGAGAGTGGGGGGGAGGGCAGCTCCACTTGGCAGCGGGACCCACCACCTCCTCTCCATGGGCCCCCCGGCCCCTCTCCTTGGCAGGACCCCGGGGGCCGCGTGTGCCCGCCTAGATCTCCATGTCCACAGGGCGGATGTTGCCCGTCTTGTGCTCTCTGACCCACAGCTCCCTGTCTTTGGCTGGGTCCACTTTTCGAAGCAGCTGGTCCACAGGCTCAACTGTCTGCAAGGGATGGAGAAGAGAGGACGCTGTCAGGGGCAGCAGCGCCCGGGACACGGCCTCTGAGCCAGGCTGCCCGCCTCTCTGCTGTCACAGCAGCCTCTCGGAGGGTTGGGGGCCCCAGGGGAGGCCCGTGAGGGGCGGACGTGCAGAGGCTGGGAGAGCGGGAGCCGGGACCTCTCGTCCCCCCCTGCTTCTCACTAGAGCACTTGACCCTCCGGACCGCAGGCTGGATGACAGGGCGGAGTGGCTCAATGGCTCCGGGTCTGAGAGCAGTTCCACCCTTCGCTCCCACGGTTACCACCACAGAACAGGGCAAATAACATTGTAACTTTAGATATTCTGCAGAGTTCTAGTTCTTTTATCTTTTTGGTAAGAGATTCACTGGGGCAGGCAATATCGTCGTCAGCTATTTAACTACCATGAGCTTTGACCTGGGGAAACACATGTGCTGTATCCATTCCTGTGTTTGGGATGGGTGCCCATGGGTGGCAGGACACCCTGCAGGCCCGTCCCCAGGCTGCTCACTGCCCATTCAGGTTCATCTGTAGTGACCACTTCACCTGCCACAGAACAGTGGTCCCCCCGGGGCCCTGGGGCCTCCGCCTGGGGCGGGGAACTCACGCTTTGGTTGAACATGTCTGTCTCGTGCCGCAGCTGTGTGTACTGGCACAGGTGCTGCCGGATCATCTCCACCCTCTCCACCTCCAGCCGCTCCAGCTCCTGCACAGGAGGAAACAGACACATGTGACATGTCCTTCCCACCACAAGGGCCCAGACCACCCTCGCACACACGTCGCCGCTGCTTAGGCCGGGTCCCACCTGACCCTTTGGGGTCTGATGAGGAACTCGTCCCACATCTAGCGGTGCAGGTGCGGATGCTGGCACAGCAGCTACTGCCGCCTGGACCCTGCCCTGCTGGGCGGGTGGGTGCTGGAGCGTTACAGGCCTTGCCTAATCGTGCTCATAATAATCTGAAGAGATGGGCTCTGTTCTTGTCTGCATTTTCCAAACAAGGGAATGAACATCCAGAGAGGGAAAGTCACCTGCCCATAGCGACATGGAATTAGGGAGGAGCGAGATTTGAACCCGGACTGCTGTGGTCTGACTCGTGATTCTGCACCAGCGCAGACCCGGCTCCGGTTCCTGGGGGTGGAGAGATGGGACGCATGCGGGGTACCCGTGCCTCCCTGGGCCTCTGTCCTCTGTCCACCCCGAGTGCTGAGGGACAGACCGGAGACCAGGCCGGGGGAGGTAGGGGCTGGGGGTGGGGTGGTCACTGTCAAAGGGAAGAAGAGTGGAAAGGTCTGTCCTTTGGTTTCTAGGTGGTTCCGCATCTTTGGAATTGACGGGCTCAGGCTGTTGTTCTTGCATAACTAGGTCACTGCCCCGGTGATCACCCAGGGAGGGGAAAGTGGGGGCTCCGTTAGGGGATTAACCAGGAGGAAAGCAGGTCACTGCCGGTGCGGACGGGCGTGGCTGTGGCAACGGGGCAACGTGATCAGCAGCTGGCACGATGCTGCTTTCTCCTCTGGCCCAACGACCCGTGTGCCCACGTGCCCACCACATCTCACTGCGGCCAGTGCTGACTGAGGAGGAGGTGCTGCCCCTTCACAGGAAAATCTCGGGTGCCGATCCCTCAGGCCCCTGATCGGGGGCCACCCCCGCTCCTCCTACACAGCGTCCAGCCTCACCCTTCGCCCCCTGCCGGGATCTCCCCTGTAGGAGCTGAAACTCCTCTGCGGGTGAGAGGGTCACGCTTCCTGCAACTTGGCTATTTGTCCTAAAGGGGCCACTGACAACTTGTGGGGGGTTCCTCAGGGCACAGCCAACCCTCCCCCGTGTTTACACAGCTAGGAAGGGCCAGAGCAAGGGTATGGATGAGCCTGGACTCACCCAGAGGCGAGGTCTGGACCCCAATGTGAGCAGACATAATGCCTACTTCCACAGTCACCTCACTCTACCACCCAGGGCGCCCTGAGTGCGGGCACGGAACCGGCATGCTCACACATCTCAGGCACTCACCAGCGTGGTGGTCACCATCTCTTCAAACCACTTGGACTGGGCCTGGTTGTAGAGGTCCACGCAGCGCATGAGGTCATCTCCTGGAAGAGGCCAAGGCCGCCGTCACACCCTGTCTGTCCTTGCTGTGGCTGCCCTCTGCCCCTGCACCCCACAGCCATGCCCTCTCCTCTCCTTGGGTCATGGAGGCCAGCGGAAAGTTGGGGCGGGAGTGAAAAGCAGAAGACAGAGAGGGCAACCCGGCACCACAAGCGACCAGCTTCAGAGCCCGACCGAGCCTGACCCCAGGCACCGAGAAGTCAGGATGGAGGTTTCTCGGTGTGTGGGGTGAAGTGGGGAGGGGGTTACTCCTAGGACCTCCCAACCTATCACCAGCCAAAGACATGCTTCCTCTCTAAAGACGGTAGCTTCACTTCACATCGGAGAGTCCTTTTGGGTTAAAAAATGTCACAAGCAGCTTGGTACTCGTTAAGAGTTAAAGAAGAAAAATTTACAAATTATGTCCGTGTGTGTGTGTGTGTGTGTGTGTGTGTGTGTGTGTACATGCAGCAGGATGCCATGCTGAAATACAAAATAATGTGTCTGCCGGTGTGTGGCTCATCCATGTGCAGTAATGCAGTAATAGCATGGAATCATGCACCGAGCGCTACCCGCCGACCCCAGCACTGCGCTGGCATGGAGACAGAAAGGCGGGGTGGGAGGAGAGGGGCTCTTTCCGTAGCATTTTATTTCATAAGAGCTGAGAAACAGACATCACTTTTCAATCTTGATGCTACTACGCTGTTTTCTGCAGTCACAGGTACCTTTGAAACATTTTGTAATTAGAAAGAAAACAACCTATAAGGTAACTGCAAACATGATGAAGGTACCAGCACCCCAGAACCTTGCTACACAAAACACGGCTCCCAGACCCACAGCGTCATATGCCCTGGGAGCCTGCCAGAATGCAGCTCTCGGATGATGCGACACCTGTTAATCAGAACTGCACTTTCACAAGATGCTCACGTGGTCCACGTGCACCCCCTGAGCGCATGACTTGGTCTATGTGTAGTTCAGATCATCACAGGGTTCCAGGGAGGACGCCATCACGGTCTTTGCTTATGATGGGAAAAACTCGAGCCAGTCAAAGCTCACTAGTTTATGCTTTAAGTCTAGTACTGGGAGTGGATTAGAAGTTATTCCTGTGACGTCACCTTGTCCTTCTGGTGTGAAGGTGAAGGCAAACGTGCACACGACCCAGGGCCTGGCTCCCTTCCACCTGAACTACACCACTAGCTGGGAGATGACCTTGAGTAACAACCAAATCAAGGGCTTTGTTCATTTTGCTCCTGGTCCAAGGTCAAGGACTGGGCCCTTGAGCCCAAGAAAAACAGAACTGGAAGGGAAGAGGTCGATATGTCACTGCAAGTGTGTGCCCACTAAGACCTCTGGCTGCTGATACTATGGCTTGACTGTGTGCTGCTGCTTGTATTGTCCTAAACTTTTTATTTTATTTTATGGGGCTTTAGTTTATAATTTTTAAATATAAATAAGTTATATTTAATGGAAAAATTTCCCAGCAATGTATCTAATAGTCACAAACAGAGAAATAATTTTATTTTATTAAAATGACAATGAAATAAATACTTAGATGACAAAGAAAATAAAAGTCTGATGTACATGAATGGCTGGATAATTGAGTGTATGGGTAATGGAACAGAGCTATCTCTAAGGTATACCAGTTAAAATATAACTTCAGAACATAGAGTATATGACCTAACGTGTAGACATTTAAATATAAACATTATAAACACTGAAAACATTAAAAAACTAGGAAGTATTGATGGTGATTAATTTGGCAAATTAAGATTTTATATTCTTATGTGCTGATTAGATTTTTCCCCAAGCAAAGATATTGATTTTATAATGTAATTTTATTTAATAACTGATTACATGAATTTAAATATGCCTTTCCTTGCCCGAGCTTTCCCTGCCCAATCACAGTAAGCATATAATGCCTTCTATTTCTGGGTATGTTTCTATTATTTGTTATTGACCTATTTTACACCATCTTATTTCAAAATGTCCATGGCTGCTTCGTTCCACAATGAGTATGAGGTTTACCAGAAGCTGAGTGGAAGGGACCTAGAGTCTAGGAGGTCCTAGACCAGTGATGGCGAACCTATGACATGTGAACTCATTTTTTTGGTTGATTTTTCTTTGTTAAATGGCATTTAAATATATAAAATAAATATCAAAAATGTAAGTCTTTGTTTTACTATGGTTGCAAATATCAAAAAATTTCTGTATGTGACACGGCACCAGGGTTAAGTTAGGGTTTTTCAAAATGCTGACCTGCCGAGCTCAAAAGGTTCGCCATCACTGCCCTAGACCATCTGATCTGAACCCTAACCCTACGTCACACCTTCTGGCCTCAGAAAGCACCACGCCCTGTCCTTGCACGCAGTGAAACTTCTTTAAAGGAATATCTGGTAAGTTTTCACTGGTTCTATCTGGCTTTTCTCCCCCCTCCTTGGGCATTAGCTCATTTTTACCACTAGGTGGAAGCAGAGACCAATGCACTGGAAGCATCTTTCAGGGAGAATCTGAAACGTGGTTATTTCATGAAAGTGTCAGCTGCTGACTGGGGCGGGCGCCCATCTCCATAGGTGAGCCTCGGGAGCATCCCTCCCTGCTGGGGTGCAGTCTGTACTTCCAGGGGCTCCCCGCAGTGACAGGGCCCCACAGTTCCGGGCCATGGAGGAGTAACCACTTCCCGGTCAGACAGCCAGGCCTGGAGACAGCCTTGCCCGCTCCCACGTCACAGCCCCCGGCCCCCATCCCGTGGGGACGCACCTTCCGGGCATCCCTCCCCCAGCTCCCCCTGCTGGGCCTCCCCCACCAGGTGCCCACAGCTGGGCGTGGCCCACTCACCGGCCTGCGTGGACTTCCTCCGGGCCTTCTTGATGTCCTCCTCCGTCTTGTTGCTCAGCTTGATCTCCAGCTGCTGGGTCTTCATCTCCAGGTCCCTCTGCCGCTCCGTGAGCGCTTTCCGGGCCTGGGGGCCAAGGACGCGGAAGGGCTGCTCACGGGGCTCAGAGCCAGGAGGGGCCCGCGGTCGCGTGGACAGCCTCCCCGTTTCTACATGAGTCCTTTCTTTTCCCTGTTCGTGTGGATGATGCCATCATGGCCCTAGGAGACTCAGCTAGACTAGCATCACTGGGCCGCCCAGGCACTGTGCTGAGCCTGCGACCCTCTCTCTCATCCCGTCTCTCACTGCACTTGGCCTACAGCAAGGCTCAGGCCAGGTCTGATGGAGGGTGTGCACTTGCAGACAGCCCTAAAATCACAGCCGGGGGGGGGGGGGGCAAGCACACGGTCATCCACGTCACGTCCAGCAGTGCTTAGTCAGGGTCAGGATGGGTCCTTGGGGGCAGCAGCTGGCCGTCTAGGGTGCCTGCAGCCATGCGCTCCCCTTTCTCCCGCACCCTAAGTCCTGTGGTCAGCGCCCGGGACAGCTCCCTTCCCCTCTAGGGACCATCAGCAGCTGCCACCAGCTTAGCCCTCATAGGCTTCTGGGAGGGGGTGATTCCGTCAGGAGAGAATCTGCCAGGCGAGGCCCAGACAAAGGGGCATGCGTGGACCAGCAGCACGTCCAGGCTCCATGTCCCAGGAGACCATGGCTGTATGTACCCCATCTCAGGGACCGGGTGGAGCCCACTGACTTCCCACTGCAGGTGCAGCCTCGCCTGCTTCCACCGGCCCTCTGGGCAGTGCCATGGGGAAGAGCGCCCATCTGCTCTTTGGGGGGAGGCAGGTTCCTCAGGTGTGGGCTAGGGACCCCCCCACCCCCCTCACCTACCCTGCTCAACCCACCCTCTTCCAGGAGGTCCCCCTCCCACCAGCCCGGCATCCCGGGCCCTTCACCTTCTCCACTGCGGCGTAGCGGCTGGCAAGCTGCTTGCGGAGGTCGGCGATGTGGTGGTCACACTTTTTCATGTCTTTCTTGAAGTTCTCCCGGAAGTTCATCAGGGGCTTCTCCACCTCGCTGTGAAGCTGTGGAGGAGAGAGGGGCACACTCAGGACCCCGGGCACCAGCTGCAAGCAAGCGCTGGGCGAGGGCAGCTCCCACCCCCACAGTGAGGGGGGGCCTGGGCGGTGGCCTGGCCCTCTGAGTACAACTGAGTGTCCACTAATGAGGTGGAGGTTTAGGAAGTCGCCTCAGCTGGCCAGGCCCCGGTTCACTGCTGGATGGACAGGCTGGTGTCCGGAGCGTCCCGAGTCCCTTGGTGGTCACCTCCTCCCCCTCTGAGCTCCCACAGCTCCTGGGAGGGCCCTGACCTTCCAAGCTGGAAGCTTTCTGGGGGCAAAACCATGCCACCATGGTGTGCCCAGGCACCCGTCACTGGCATGGATGCCATTCTTGGGCGCCGCAGGGCAGCTCTGTTCACCGAACACCTGCTCTGTGCCCGTGCGAGCCTGCGAAGGTGATCTGGACGTGGTGCAAAGCTCCAAGAACCGATGGTGGGAGCCAGCGAGGCCGGTGGGGGCTCACAGGGCCCCCTCTGCCCTGTACCTGGGGGGGGGGGCTGCTCATCTCACTGGTCTGCATGGAGACGGCACCTCCCATCCCAGCACAGGGAATGGCCTCGCCGGCCGGAGGCCAGAGAAAGAGGTTTATGCTCTGAGGGGAGTGGGGGGTCTTTTTCAAGCATTTTCCTTCTCTTTGATTCCTTCCCTCGATCCCACTCCTTTTTGAAGAATTTTTACTTCCACCTTTTTTTTTGGTGTGAACATGAGAAGCATTTGATGAGAAAATAGGTAAATGCGGAGCTGCTGCCCAGCCAGGTGAGCAGCCTAGAGCAAGCATGTCGAACCCGCGCCCGGCAGGCTGCATCCTGCCCACAACGAGTATTTTTGTGGCCCAGCCAATATAACGATATGTCAGAAACGTTCTGATAAAAATTTCCTAACTTAATTTTTATAATATCCTGTTATACATATTAATAACGAACTACAACGTTCGCTAATGACTGATTACTATCATCGTGTTGCATTCATTTCCCTTACGCGCCTTATGCACAGGTGCACCATTTCTCTCCACTAATACTAGCAGCGAATATTTTAGCAGCCGATGGCCACATCATTAGTCTTGGACTGACTTGTTTGGTGTGCGCAACAGGAAATATTTCGCTTTCGAAGAACAAGAAAATTAGGTTTATTTGCGTTATGCTTATTAATTTGTGCGGTTATTCAGTGTCTGGTAAGTTAATGTTTAAGAAAAAATATTAATTTTTATTAAAATGTCCTATTATTTTATGTAGTGACTCATTTATTTCAGCCCTTTGTATTCAGCATGTCTCTATCGAAATAAACCTACGTTTCTATGAAAATTGAAGCTTTTGTTTTTTTTGCGGCCCACATACACTTACACCTTGTTTATTTGGCCCGTGTTAGCCTTTGAGGTTGACATGCTTGGCCTAGAGCCTTGCTGAGTCAGCCTCTCCGAGCCCCACCCGTCAGCCTCCTGTGCCCTCCTGGCCCGGCCTTCCAGGGCCCCGGGGCCTTGACCTGCCCCAGAAACGCCTCTGACAGGCACAGCTGAGCCTCCCTGTCAAAGGAACACACACACACACACACACACACACACACACACACACACCCGGCTCTGGGATTCCGGGATTTCTCTCCTCCTCCTCACCAGGCTCCAGGTACATGAACTTTTTCCGCTGGTGACCTCAAGGGCTTCTGTGCCTTTAGTTCTACACAACTGGTCACACGTGACTGAGTCCAAGAGGCCAGGAGCCTGGCTGGCTTGGCCACCACGGTGAATGGATTCAGCTGGAGCTGGTGCGGAGCCAGTGCCCCTTCACTTCTTGGGGAAATGACAAAACCCTCAGGGCCCAGTGGCCTGCGTGACAGCAGCTGTTCTTGGATGACCTTCGAAGGCTAGCAGGGAGCGGGCAGCCACGTGCCCCTCGCTCCTGGTGCTGGTGGTAAGTATCTGCTGGTATTCTTCTAATCCCCACCCCATTTCCTTGTGTAGGAAACACCCCGCCTGGTGGCAGTTTGCGAGATGCTGCAGTGTGACAGCTACGGAGGAAGGCAGACCCATTCCCACACAGGTGAGGCCTTTGCTGCAGTGGAGCTCATACCTCAGCTGCCATGGCAACCTGCTCCGCATTGGGGCTGGGAGGGCTCCCTGGGCCTGCAGCCTCAGTGCCTGGAGCGTCCCGAGTCCCTCAGTGGGGTCTCTTTCTGAGGAGGTGGGGGGGTTGATTTCTAGAGGTCAGTGCGCCCAGGAGTGACCTGGAGGGACATTCCACATGGCATCTGGGCACACAATGCTGTAGCTGGCAGAGGGACCCAATCCCACTGCGCCGACCTCTGTGTTTTCAGTACTTGTAAAGTACGTAATTCTTCCTTAAGAAAAAGAAAACTTGGCCGCGTGCCTTTCATACTCATTTTTAACTATAAGCATCTCTGTCACTGTGAGTCGAGTCCTCAGGAGTGTGTCCTAGTGAAGTCGGGGTGGGCCCGTCTGGGATGGGACAGGCTGCCGATCCACTCGGGTCTTATGCCTGCTGGGAACTCCTCACTCCAGTCCCCTTCCCCCGCTTCCTCCTCACACAGGGGAGAGCAAGAGAAACCACGAGGTGCAGACCACAGCAGAGACGGTCTGTCCGGCGTTTTCCGAACGGCGGGCAGCTGGGCGCAGTGAAATGAGGTGAGTGGGTCCGGACCAGCTCCTGGTGGGAAGGGCCAGCCTCCAGGGAGATGTCAGAGAGCACGGCAGGCGGGAGGAGTGCGTTTCATGAAGCGTGTGTGTGCACGCTGGGTGCAGAGGCCGTGTGCTGCGGGGGCCGTGGAGATGTATCCCAGTGGTTCCCCCCAAATAGGTTTCAAATGGAAAATGGGGGCTTGGAGATGCCGAGTGCCCCGCCCAGGGTCAGAGGCGGGTAGCGGCAGCGCTGACGGAAACTCCAGCCTCCGCTCCCACTCTGCCCCCAGCCTCTGACGGGTGCCCGGCGCCTCATCCATGGTTAGACCGTCTCCCATCACAAGGGACAGGTCTAGTCTCCTCCAGCAGAGCCAGGTGTAGCTTCCTGTGTACACGGCCATCGGTCCTTAGCAGCCTGTTGCTGGTAGCAATGGCTGCAGCCAGCAGACAGAAAAGCCTGGGAGATGGCCTAACAAAACTGCATTTCTTACAGGGCTCTTCCGCTGACACAGAGCAGTGGGGTTTCAGTGAGCCTTCTGGAGCAGAGGTTAAATGGGTTTGGGGCATGTGGAGCCATATTATCCATGGCAAACAGTGAATGCTTGGCGCTCTCTTCTTTGTAGAGAACAGCATCACAACGCTGGCGGCTAACGCGGCTGCCTAAGGCCACCGACACTGCCCGGCCAGCAGCAGCAGCAGTTCTCAGAGAAAATACTACAGATGCTTTCCATCGGCGACGTCCTGGGCATCAGGAGGGCCGGCCCACCACCCAGAGAGCCCCTGAGAGAGGGCAGTGTGCTCCTCAGGGTCAGTGTGCTCCGAGGTCAGCACCCCATTCACCCCGTCCTCTCCATCCTGCTCCATCGCGGCCCCCTACGCTGTGTGGCCGCAGGCTCCGCTTAACCTCTCTGCCCCTTCTCACGTGTGAGGTGGAGATGCCGTCCTGCCGGGTGGCTGATAAGACTGAGGTGAGTTCTATCCCGCACGAACCATCGAGAACACTGTATGACTGTGATTCTGCGACATAATAATATATACGTCAGGTCTCGTCCTCGGCTCCTGGCCGGAGCGCCTCCCCTTTGTAATTTCCTCGGTGATCATGGTGCTGGAAGCATCTTCTGTTCGAACAGTTGGTCGCTGACCTGGGCTGAGCCTGGTTCCCATCACAGAGCTCCTGAGTCCCTTGCCATTTCCTGGGTGACAGGAGCCTCTTTTGTCCTAAGGAGGGGACCCTGGGTGGGCTCCTGCCTAGCTTCTGGAGGGCTGGTCACCAGAAAGACCAAGTCATGATTTTAGCCGCAGGCCCAGCCGCTGGGGAGAGGAGAGAAGCTGGAGATAAATCGATGGTGCCCACGTGACGAAGCCGCCATAAAAGCTGTCAATCACAGCGTTCAGAGAGCTTCGGGTTGGGAACTCAGCATGTGTCAAGAAGGTGACATTCCACAGGGACAGGAGCCCCAGGCTCAGGACCCCCCCAGACCTCACCCTAGGGCCTAGGCACCTCTCCACACGGCTGTTCATCTGTATCATCCATCACATCCTTTAACGTATAATACCCTGGGAAACCTTGGTAAGTGGTTCCTGCATTCTGGGAGCCATTCTAGTGAGTTATCACACCTGAGCAGGGGCCGTGAGAACCCCCAATTTGTAGCCTAGTCAACAGAAGTGTGGGTAACCCAGGGACCCGCTGCTTGCAACTGCCCTCTGAAGTGGGGGCAGTGTTGTGGGGCTGAGCCCTGACCCTGTGGGACCCATGTTACCTCCACAGACAGTGTCCGCACTGAGTGATATTGTAGGACACCCTGCTGTGAAGGAACTGGCCAGTGTGGGAAAAAGCACTTGGTGGCAGAAGTGGTGGTGTGAGCAGCAGTGGGAAAAGGAAATAGCAGAGGAAAACAGGGCACAGGAGAATGTTTGGTCTGTGAACATTCCAGAACCGGGGTCCTGCTGAGGGGAAGTAAGTGCCACAGGTCCCGGGATCCAGCAGGAGCCCTTTCAGAAGCTCAGGCGACCGGCTCCCAGCCCGCCCAGCCCAAGGGCAGCCTTCCCACCCACCTCCCCAGCCAACGGCAGGTTCACGTACGGGAACAGAGCTGCTGGGGCCAGGACAGCAGGGAGACCCGGAGGGAGCACCTCCCAGGATCTGCAGCTTAGAAAGAACTCGCTGCCTTGTCTGCACGGCAGGAAGGAGCCTAATTCGCTGAGCTCCCTCCTTGCCCAGCTGGAGGGGCGACTTCCGGTGCAGGGGCTGGTGCCTGGGTGAGTGAGCTATTGTTCGCCGAGCATTCTCACATCTGGGTGGCAGCTCACTCCTGGGCACTCCTACCCTTCACAGCAGGAGCTGGAAATAGCACTGGTTTTCCCTTCCACTCAGCTCTGTACACAGCTCCTCCACGTGCCTCACATCTGAGTCATTCATTCTGCCCTGTGTGCGGGGCACCACCACGAAGGGGTGGGGCGGCCCGTGCTGGCTCCGAGTGCTGCATGTGTAGGAATTTTATAGGCTGGTTGCTCCAGACAGCCAGTATTAAAAACTGTGATCTAAATTCAAAATTAATCAATTACATTAAAAACAAGTGTACTCAATACTCAGCACGTATCACTTCCTAACTGCATCTCGCTGTCCTCCATGGTCTCAGGGCTAGTTCTGATCACTCACTATTGCACTGGGATGGCGGAAACATCGTCCTGGGATGTGCTTCTGCCCATCCCCAGCCCTGATGTGTACATCACAGACCCTGTGCTTCTGCCCATCCCCAGCCCTGACGTGTACATCACAGACCCTGTGCTACTACTGCCCATCCCCCAGCCCTGGACGTGTACATCACAGACCCTGGTCCAGGGCTGAGCTACTGCCCATCTCCCAGCCCTGGACGTGTACATCACAGACCCTGGTCCAGGGCTGAGCTACCAGCCCTGGATGTGTACACCACAGGTCCTGGTCCAGGGCTGTGCTACTGCCCATCCCCCAGCCCTGATGTGTGTGTCACAGACCCTGGTCCAGGGCTGTGCTCCTGTGGTCTCTTCGGAACCCCTGACATTTACAGCATAGAAACTGGCAACACCACACACAGGAGAGGCGGCTGTTCACAGCCTAGCAGCACACCACAGTGTAAGACCAGCCCAGAGAGGCCGCGGGGAGGGGTTACCTTGGCCGAGAACTTGAGGTGGACTTCTGCCTCGTCCGCCAGGCTCTTCTTCACCTGCGCCCACGCCTCTCCCAGGGAGCTGCAACACGAAGCAGACTGTCAGACTTGGGGGGAGCCGCAGTGACCCGATGGCGGAGACCCCGTAGACCAGGCTGGCGTGAGGCAGAGGCCAGGCAGGCACAAAACACACTTGGGCACTGATTCAACCCGAGCCCCCCAAACCGAGCCCAGGAGCTGAGAGAGCAGGCTGTAGCAGACTGGGAAATAGCCAGAAACCCAGAGAACTGGGGGAGCTGCACAAAAGTGGGGTGCAGCAGCAGGGGGGGCCTCCAAGGCTGGCCAGCTGCTCTCCCCATGCCTTCCCATCACCCCTCCCTGGTTTGTTGACGAGGCACAGGCACCTGCTGGGAAGTTACAGAGGGAGGACAGGTGCCCCTCAGGGAACAGTCCTGCTCAAATGGAAGGTACCACACAGCGCTCCCTGCATGCAGGCAAACCCCGGACAGCCTGGCTTCCAGCGGGGCAGAGGGGGACCCTCTGGGTCTAGGGAGCTCCTAGGGACGCCCACAGGCAGACGGCTCTCCATTGGCAGCACAGGAGTGTGGCTCCGGCCGGTCCTGAGCCTGCACGTGAGGCCTGGTGCTGCACACAGCTTCACTGGAGAACGCAGAGGCCTCTCTGCTCTGTCACTTCCCACACCAAGATGCTCCAAGTAGAAGCAACTTCCCGAAGTCCCCAAGACCCTGCAATGCAGGCCCCAGGCTACACTCTGGTAATTTGCAACTCTTTAACCCTGGGACCTCTACACCCAGCCTAAACCCAGCCAGTAAACCCAGGCTGACTTCCTTCCATCCAAAGGCCACTTCCTCGGGAGAATTCCTTAAACTCGAGTGGCAAAAGCTGACTAACAGACATCGTGCTGCGCGGCCTCTGGGTTTGCAGTGGAGAAGCCAGCAGCTGAGAGCTACCCAACACATCATAACGGGCCCCTCTGGTTCAGCCCAGGCCTGTCTGGCTGTGGTGCTGCCTCAGGCTGAGGTGGGTGTTCATGGGAAATGACTGAGTTTATCTAGGAGCCTGGAAGCAAAGAAAGGTCCCCTTGAGTGACCCCGGCTAGGGAGCCCACCAGAGACGAGATGGAGAAATGGGCAACCCACACTGCAGACATTTCTCTCTGCCTCACGGGTCTGAGCTCCAGGGAGCTGTGGGGGCAGCTCTGGGTGGCGGCTCCTCACCTGACCCGGGAGGCGGGTAGGGAGTCCTGGGCCGGGGATAGAGGGGGTGGAAGCAGACCTGGTGGTCAGACAGATATGGGAAAAGAATACCAGGCCCAGAAACAGACTCAGATGCGGGGGACTGATGTGCCACAAGAATGTCTAATTATCTCAAGGGAGGAGGGACAGCCTTTTAACAAACGGTGCAGAGACCACTGTACAACCACAGGGGACACAAGGCCTCTAGACCCTGACCTCATGCCATACGGATGGATTCTCTCAGGCTGCATCACAGACCTGGGGTGAACGTCAGCACTCTACCAGCTACGGAAGCAGCCCCGGGAGAAGTGGGAGCTCATATCGAGGCTGACGGGAGGGTTTCGGCCCTGCAGCTGAGCTGCATGTGAGCCTGCGGACGGTGAAACGAGCCCACAAGCCGAAAGGCGTGGGCAGCCCTGAGGACGTGCACGCCCCCCACCAGCAGGGCACGTGGTCAGTCACTGGCGCGGCGGCAGCTGCAGTGGCCTGAGCGTGTCATCCGAGGCCACTGGGAGGGCAGGAGGAAGCACAGTGTCCGGATCAGGCCCAGGCTGTGTGGCTCAGTGGTTTCACACTGACCCATGAACTAAGAGGTCGCTGGTTCAATTCCGGGTCAGACTGTCCCCACCTCCAGGCTGGGCATTCACAGGTGGGAGGATGTCACTCTAAACATCAATTGGTCTGTCTGAGCTAATACATGCCCCATGCACCGACCCCCGCTCCCCCCCCCCAATATCCCAGGGCCCCTGGGGCCACGTCACCATTTCAAATAAAGCAATTAGAAATTTCCTCATTTGAAGAGAAATTTTTCATCTGATAGGTGGTTAATGAAAAAACTAAATTCTGAGATATACGCCCGTTCCAATATGCAGTCTGAGGCCTTCCACGTCAAAATGCACGGTGCTGTCACAACGCTCAAGCAGAAAACAGCCCCATCCCACTTCCTCTCCACGCGGGAGAGAAAGGCTGCAGGCAGGACGAACAACCGGCCCTGGCTCCTCGCCGGGCGCACATATGCTGGGGCATCTGATTTGGACACAGCGCTCGAGTGGCCAAGGCAGCTCGAGCCTCCCCCTGGGCAGGCACCTCCCTAGGCTGCCCAGATCTCTAGGCTCCAGCACTGAGCTTTGGAAGGTTCTATGTGGACTGGGCTCACGTCCAAAGCTGTGTGTGAGCAAAACAGCGTCGCGGCACTGTGAGCAGGGCCCACGGGCCCATCCCCCCGCAGCGCCTGCTGGAAGGAGTGTGCGCGGGGTTAGCCTGTGTGCAAAGCCAGGTGCTCGTGGCCACGCTGGAGGCGAGCAGCGCCGATGCACGCATGTGAGCGTGTGCCGAGTTCCCCCGTCTGTAGGTGCGTGTGTGCACAGCATGGCGGTGCAGGCCCGACGCCTTCAGCTGGGAGCATATGCTGTGCGTGCGGGCAGGACTGAGTGTCCTCGGCAGCAGCCCAGGCCGAGGAGGTAGAGGCGGGAAGATGCGGGGCAGCACTGTAGTCACAGGGTATGGAGATGCCTGGAAAGGCCCCTGGCCTGGCCAGTGGGGCGGCTCCTCCACGCTCCTCCTTCCTGCCCTCATCTCAGGCCCAGTGCACGGAGCAGAGGGGGCCGGAGGGCACCTCATTTATGTCCGTGGGAGAGACACCAGCCTTGCAGGGCTGTCCTGTGGCCTGTGGCTGGCGGTCGGTGAAAACCATCCGGAGGCGGCCTGCTGGCTGCACAGCGGGCCCAAGCAGAGGCCTTGATCAAAGCCACATGTGGTTGGCAAAGCCCTGCCGCTGAGGGATTTCAAGCCAGGCAGGCAGGGCTGGACTCGCTTAACACTGCAGCTCGCTGACGGCCGCAGCATCCGCTGCCTTCCTCTGGGGCTCGCTTCCTCTCAGGAGGGAGTCAGACACTGCCCTGGAGGGAGGTCCCACCAGACAGAAGACTCCAGGGACCTTCAACGCTAACTTCCTGAGCCATTGTTTTTATTATTGGGATGAAATTTCATTCGGAAGGATCGCACTTAGCCCAGTCACCCTGTTGTGCAACCACCACGTCTAGCTATTCCGAACCATTTTCATCACCCTGCTATGGACTGAATGCTGGTGCCCCCTAGGTTATGATGTTGAAGGCCTAACCCTGAGTGCGACTGTGAGTTGGGGATGGATCCTCCGTAACAGAAACTGAGGTTACATGAGGTCATATGGGTGGGGCCCTGATCAGATGGGATTAGTGTCCTTATAAGAAGAGACACTGAGAACTCGCTCTCTCTCCTCACTGCGAAAGGCCACAGCAAAAAGGCGGCCGCCTGCAAAGAGGGGAGCTCTCACCAGACACCAACCTACTGCCTCCAGAACTGTGATAAGTTAAATTTCTGCTGTTTTAAGCCAGTTTTAAGCCTATTTTTTACTGTTACAGCAACCCACAGAGATGAATACACACCCTCCACCAGAGGAAACCCCGTGCTCATTAAGCAGTTACTCTCCATTCCCTTTTTTCCATAAACTCTGACAACCACCATTCTGTCTTACGAATTTGTCTGTCCTGGACATTTCACATAAATGGAATCATATGCAACCCCTGTGTCTTGCTTCTTGCACTTCATCCACATAGTAGTATGGGTCAGTTCTTCATTCATTTTTATGGCTGAATAATCCCACCCTATAGCCATATATCCAACGTGGACATAACTAATTTGTCCGTCCATTCATCCCTTGATGGACATTTGGGTTGTTGCTAACTTTTGGCTACTGTGAAGTGGGTGCTATGGACATTCGTGTGCATGTGTTTGTTTGAGTAGCTGCTTTCAGTTCTTTTGGGTCTAAGCCTGTGAGGGGAACTGCGGGGTCACAGTAATTCCAGGCTTAGTTTTCTGAGGCACTGCAAGCTGTGTTTCTACAGTGGCTGCACAGTTACATTCCCACCTGCAGGCCCAAACGCTCTGTAACAAGGCAGAGCAGAGAAGGCGCCGTCTTCCTCCCACCAGGGATCCCTCTGTGGCTGGGAGTGTGGGCTGAGTCTCCCCAGCCCAGGACCCACCCAAGGAGGTCTGGACTGTCGCAGCTGGAAGGGGAGGGGGGCCTGGGCCTCAGGCCCACAGGGGAGAATTCTAAACAAGCAGCCAGGTGCGGAATCCTCTCACACCCAGGTTCCTACCAGCCTGCCCTCAGAAAGGGAAGCAGGTGCGGCATCTGGGGGCTGATGGCCAGCTACCAGGGGCCAGGGCCGAGGGGGTCCAGCATACGGCAGGAGGCCCTTGGCCACGAGAGAGAAAACAATGTGGAAGTGCTAGCCTTGAGCATGCATGCCCACACCTGGGTCACAGGTGCCCACCTTGAGCATGCATGCCCACACCTGGGTCACGGTACCCACCTTGAGCATGCATGCCCACACCTGGGTCACGAGTGCCCACCTTGAGCATGCATGCCCACACCTGGGTCACAGGTGCCCACCTTGAGCATGCATGCCCACTGTGAGCCAGGCCTACCCACTTGAGCATGCATGCCCACTGTGAGCCAGGCCTATGGAGACTTCCCCACCAATGGGCCCATGGCAATAATCAGTGATCAGTGTAAAAGGGACTCCCTCCCCCATCGCCCCCCCCCGCCCGAGTGTCTCCTCTTCCTCCCACTCCCATCGCTGTCCTCCCCACTCACCCTTCCTCCTGTGCGGCCAAGGAGTTCTGAGAGAGCTTAGCTAAGTTCTTCGCATATTCTTCTTCAATCTTTATCCTGCAAGAGGAGAAAACCCAACAGGTCAGCTCCCCAGTGCTAGTTGGTGGGTCCAATCTACAGCCCTGCTGCTTAATAACCGTGTAAAGGAACCCACTAGACCATATGCTCTGAGAGTGCGTGGCTCTTGTCTGTCTGGCACACAGTAGGTGCTTTGTAAATTATCTGTTGAATGAATGAATGCGCAAAATTGTCTGAACCTCCCTGTCTGTTCATCTGCAAAATGGGCTATTCCCAGCTGTCTACCGGGTTGTGAAGATGCAAAGCTGTCATCTGCACAGATCCTGACACGGGGCTGGACACATGGAGACCCTTAAACGGATGAATGTAACTCATGATGGACCACCGTGCTGGATGCCCAGTGCTGTCCTTCCCCTGCCAGCCCCAGAGTTCTGGGTTTAGACCCTCCAGGGTGGCACCGGCCCCTCAGAAGCAGAATAGAACT